TCATTTCATGTTACAAAGGGTTAGTTTTCTCAAAATGTATTCTGGTTTTTAGAGGGAGCACTGTCTCCTTAAGAGACACCTCTTCAAATACCATCTTTCTGAAGAGCAGCCCCTACAGCGAATGCTTCCTCTGGGAAACAAAATCACTCCCTGAGAGCTCGTGTTGTTTGTTTATCCTGAGTGATCACTGATACGTGTATCTGAAACTTTTCATTATTCCAATTACACTGATGTTAAAAAGAATTTCTGTTGAAAGGTTTGATGTAGCATAAATGCTAAATCTAACATCAATTTTTGACAGTCTCTTCCTTTTTTTCCTGTAATAAGTGTTCGCACATTTTAAAATTTGTAAAAAACACAGTGTTTAGGAGACATCTATATCTATAAAGGAAAAAAATAAAAAAGCCTATCTATTTTCCTCAGCACTCCCCTCTACAGATCCCGGGAATGTGCTAGCTCAACAGGGCACATCTTGCCAGTTGAGGCTTCGTTGATTCAAGTGTTGAATACCTTGAAGTCTCCAAAGCCTGGAATAATATTATAAATAACCACATTGCAATCAGCAGGATGGGAAAACAGGGTGAGAAACATCAGTTCTGAAACGTTTTCCATGGGCCGCTTTGCCCTCTAGGGCAGAATGACAACTACCTTTTTGGTTTGTAAAAAAAAAGGTAAGTTAGACATTTTCACTAATGGAACTCTAAATATTTATGAATAAATCTTCATAAATACTCGTGTGTTCAGGAAAAGCATTTCCCTGGAAAATGAAGAAAACTGAATCTTCAGAATCTTCACATAACAGGATATGAATCCCCTGGCCTAATATCTACTAAATATGCATCCAATAAAGATATAAATAAAACTGAAGTCCTTTTCTACTTAATGAGTTAAAATAATGCTGATTCCTGGGAAAACACAAATTATTTATTTTTAGCAAAAGTCGAGTAACATATTTGTTCTTATAATGTGTTTCAAAGCTATGGTATACTATTAAAGTAAGTATGCAAACATCATTTATACAATAACTAATGTAACAGAAAATTATTAAATTAATTTTATAGGAATCATACCTAAATAAGGCTCCATATCAATTATATTTTGTAAGATTAGCTTCAAACTGTTCTTGCCAATATTTAAAAAGAAGGGAAGTATAGGTAATTTATTTAACAATTTTAAATAAAAACCTGTACTTTAAAGTACACTTGACTAGACACAATCCTTAAATACCCCTATTACTTCATTACAATAATAATCATAAATGTTATTAATGAAACAGGAAAGCAAAAAGCAACAAATGCTATTAACTTTTGTTCCTGTTCAAATCATTTAATCACTTGAAATCTAATTACCTTTTATTCTGTGTGTAAATTACACATTTTTCATGATATAGAAAATTCATATTTGTAGAACACATAAATGTGTTTTGTTAGAATTCAAAATTGCTTCCAAAAGCCAAAAGTTAATGCACTTAAGAAATATAACCCAAAGGCATATAAATTAGAAATTTATTATGATAATAGCATTTTTTCTCACCTTGAAGTCATTTAATTTCTGGTTCTGTTTGATCTTCTTATTGCATTATTTCGATGCCCCCAAACTACATTCATGGGCTCTTTAAAACTGTCCAAGAAATGTAGCAGAGAGGGAAAAATTGGCTTATTTTAAAATGAATAATTTAAAATATGCCTACAAAGCAGTTTGTGAAGCCTACAATTATATGGCATCTCAGCTTCTAACATAAAAATGGGAGGCAAAAGGTAAATTATGTAATATGAACATTGGCAGTTCTTCAGCTAATTGTTCAACCCCAAGAATATGTTATCTGTATGCCATACCTTTATTTTCTCAAGTGGCATAGTAACTTGAGGGGCAAGACAGGTACTAGGAAATTCAGCTCAGTGGTGGAAAATCAGGTCATTGGAGGCAGCAGGACCCCCCGTAGGGCCTCTCCAAGATCCTGGTGTGGAAGTGGTAGATCTCACAGCACCGTAGGACAGTGGATAGAGCCTGGGGTTTGGAGTCAAAATCTGGTTTTGCCTCACAACTACTTTGGCACTTTAGGCATCCCTCATACACCCTTTAGTTCTCCCACAAAATAGGTAATGATGCCTTCTTTACAGTTGTGCACACTTTGTTACCATGGTTTCATGGTACAGTGGGGACAGAGATTCTCAATAACTGCTGCCTGAATGTTGGAGAAGCTGTTAGAGCAAAGTGTTTGAGAACAAAGTCTTGGAGTGAGACTGGAAGCTAGTTCTCTGCTCTACCACTTGTCAAATTTATTACTGACAAGGAGCCAAGTTTTTAATTTTCCTAAGCTTTAGCTTTCTCATTTAGAAAATGAGGCCAGTAATAGTTGTGTTGCAAGTGGTTGTAAAAATATTATGAGATAAATACACAACACTCTTAGTAGAGCCACTGATAGAGAGTGCTCAATGAATTCTAATTACCATTAAAAATGTCAATAGTATTTTACACTGCTCTTTCTGTGCTTTAAAGACATACGCTTTACAAATATATATGCTGGAAAATTATATACTGGTCCCCTATAGTTAGGGTGACCAACTGTCCCAGTTTGCCCAGAACTATGCCAGTTTTAGCACTGAAAGTCTAGCTTTCCAGGAAACCTCTGTCCTCCACAAACTGGCAGCCTTCACTGTTGTCCTACAAGCTTATCTAGAATTAATAAAAAACAAACTCTGGCTGGGAGCTCCATAGCCCGCACTGTCAACTAGGCATGGCATGTCCCTGTCCTCATCTGTCCCTGGAGCACCCAAGGAAGGCAAGTTCTCCCATGTGACTGATCCTAGAAAAGATGAGCTCACAGCAGCAGGGTAGCAGGGTCTCCATACATAACACGTTGTTTTTTCTTTCTTCGTTATGTGGTATGTGAGTGTAAAATGTGGCTCTAAAATATTTTTTTAAGTTGCTTCTATCCTTTTGGAGCTTTCAAACTTTTCATGGCTCAGCTGTCCTCCCTAAGTCCCTGAGGAGAGGGCAGCACCGGGGCCTGCCTGGACACACTTTGGGACATGCCCTTTCGGTAGTCTTCCGTCACATGGTCTATTCTGTGAGGCAGATCCACATCTTGAGTCCAAGGAAGACTTGGCAGAGTGACAGCACATCTCAGCCAGAACACAATGACCGTGTAGAAATATAACAATCTGACGTGCTTTGTAGTGAGCCTCTAAATGTATGCACTTCCTACAAACTTTAGATTGTACCACTTGGAAATTTTGTTTTGTTCTGATCAGATAGTTACAGCTTTTGGCTAGTAATAATATGTATGGTAGAGCTCTAATGAAGAATTACTATATTTTTCATTCTTTTGTCTAAATGAATTAGGTCGTGACTCATTTCCAGTATAAAGATGTACTGCTTTTACTATACCAAGATTTATCTTGCAAATACAAATAAATTCTTCTGAATCTAGATATAAGAGCACTAGCCATTTCTGTGCTACAGAACCTAAAACTGTGTTTCTGGTATATGAATTAAAAATGAATGATGCCCAGAAATCTATGTAAAATCTAGGGACCAAAACAGCTTAATCGCACTGAATAATATTTTACTTTTTATTAATATGTATTTATTGACTAGTGTGTAAGAGACTATGTCAGATTATGCAGTATGTGTCAGAATATACATATATTTTTGTAAATTCAAACTAAAATAAGTAAGTGAATGTTATCTTGCATCTTCACACCATGACATTGAGAAACAAACACACAACTCAATATACTAGGAGTTAGGGATAACTTATGATTTGTGTCTTTTAAAGTAGAACCCACTAAACTATAGAGGGAGGAGGTTAAAAGTAAGACACCTAGGCTTGTAGTCTACTACTTATCAGCAGTATGAATGGGTAAGTTCTCTTAACCTCTTTGATCCTGAGCTTAGATTCATAAGAGGGATGATGCTACTCTCTGGACTTACAGGGTTACTATGGACAACAAACTGATTCAATCATTGATACACAAGTCTTGAGTAAATGTACTTTTATTAAATTATAAAGCACTGCCCTGGCTGGTGTAGCTCAGTGGATTGAGCGCGGGCCTGCGAACCACACGATCGCGGTTCGATTCCCAGTCAGGGCACATGCCTGGGTTGCAGGCCGGTTCCCTGCAGGCCAGTTCCCAGCAGGGGACGCACAAAAGGCAACCATACATTGATGTTTCTCTCCCTCTCTCCTTCCCCCACTTCCCCTCTAAAGATAAATAAATAATAAAATATTAAAAAATTAAAAAAAAATAAATTATAAAGCACTATAAAATTTTAAGTATTATTAAAATTACTTCATTAAGCAAAAGCCATGCTCCCATATTAATTATCAGGACAAAAATAACACTGAACAGGAAATGGTGTGTGTGGTGCATGAGAGTGAGATGAGGTGTGCCTTTACTTGAAACTCAAGTCCAAGATCAAAACTCAGACGTGATACAAAAGATGATGAGATAGGATTCAGCAATGTGCCAGCACAGCAGACGGGATGGTTTCCCTCTTATGTTCCTTGGGAAGAGAGGATTGATGGGTATCATGACACTACTGGGGTCCTGAGGGATATGTTTTGGCAACTACTTCCCTGATGTGTGACTGCAGTGGGGGCCCACCATTCACTAAGGTTACCGCCATCTAGAAGGGGAAACCTGGGGATTTTCCTCTGTCCCAGTTACTACCCCGAACAGAAGGTAAGAATTAAATCCTTCTACATGAGAGAAGGGGGATGCAAACAAACAAACAAAAATCTGTAAAAATTTTTCTAGTTGGCAGTGTGAATAAATTTTGAAGCAAAAATATTCTTAATTTTAATAATTTCTTCTTTGATGTGAACTACTCACAATATAAAGTAACTGATACCAAATTCCACACAAAATCACTGCAGGGAAAAAAGCTACTGTTAAATAATTTTGCTCATTATTTTAATAAATAGTTATATAACTCTCATATATTATGCAAGAAAAAACAATAATAAATGGCTTAAAATTTACATTAATATTTACCTTTTGTAGAAGAGTTATATTTTTCTTGCTCTTCAATGAATTAAATGCACATAATGATGGAAACAAAAGAAAGAAATCAGCAAATTTATAGTTAGACATGAAAATGTGGATCAACACAGTGGTATGAATGATAAAAATGCATAACATATAATGTGACACGGTAACTTACAATGATAAATATGAGGAAGTCTCAAATATGGTACTAAAATTAATCAAAGAAAGAATGAGTACAACAATTTAGAGATTTAAAATAAAATGATAAACATTGAGAAATTAATACATTTGGCATTTGAAACATATTTTGTGGCATTTTCTTGCTTTTTAAGAGTTAAAACATATTTCAGCATGAATTTAATGAAAATATGTTAATTTTAATCCAGTGATTTTTATTGTAAAACAAAAGCATATTTAATATTTATAACTATCATTTTAATTAAAAATAAAGCATTTTGGATTTGAAATTTAATATAATCTATGAAAAATAAATTCCATTTACTAGAAGTAGGTATTTTCTTTTCATCATGAAAAATATTCTGCAACATTTTCCAAATGGAAAAATATAGTCTAATTTAAGGAATCCTTTCTTCCTTCTTAAATCAATGATATTAAGATGTCATGGTGAAATTGTTCTTTGGAGACTATATTTCCTAGATATTTCATAAGCTGTATATTAACTTTCTTGTTGGTATGCCATTTACTAAGAAATATGACCTATCTAGATATTTCTGAAGAGGAATATTATTAGAGTTATAGATAGCAGATATAATAGAATACATAAAAAACAAATAGCACAGCATATGTTAGTTTATGAATAATCTTTAAATACATCTTCTTTAAAATGCATCCAGTTGAGAATAAAAAAATATCATTTGATTTCAGAAAACCATACAACACTTTTATGCAAACAATACAGTACTTTCAAGCTTCACGCAATGTAAAGGCTACACTGGAATACAACATTCAAATATACCCAGATAAATTTCCTGTAAGTCTTTGTTCTCAGTTATCATAATGCCATTTGAGTTACCTAAATTTCAAGGCTTTTTTTTTTCAGCTATTGTATCTTAAAATCTGTGTTGTAATCACCTATCTCCTTTTCCCCTAAAACAACTTTAACATAATCAAATTCCATGTAGCATTCCTAATTTTAAAAACAACTGTGAAATACTTCTTCAAAAACTAAGTAAACATGCCTTTTCAAAGGATGGTACCCTTTAAAATAACACGTACTGCTTTTACAATACAAAGAAGAGTAGCAACACTGAATCATAGAAAAAAAAACCCCAAAAACCCAAACAATCTAATCATCCTAAAAATAAATATGTGGATAACTATATCCAGAAACTGTGTTTGGATATAATTATTTTATAAGTTTAACAAATATTGTATCACTATCCAGGAATCTATACCATGGGAAACATTTGCTCTTAGCAATCAACTACTTATCAACTCAATTATTTTTTAAAAAGAAAAATTACCCTCTGTTAAAAAAAACTGGAAGGAAGTCAAGTGCAGTAGACCATTAATTTTCATCAAAGGCAGAAATAAAGTTTAACAAATAATATCAAAAGAAAAAGAAGGTAATTCTATAGCTTTAAGAACAAAAATGTAATGAATGCTAAATGGAGTGTGCTAAATTTCTATCTAGCCCATATACTACATTAGAATTTTACTTTTAAAAATATTGCTTTAGCATACACAAAGATGCCACATGAACTGTTCACTTTGAAACAGATCTACAATAAGGTAACTGGAGGTAGTATCATTTACCAAAAGTCCCAAAGCACATATTAACATCATAAAAGAAACAAATCTACTTTAATTACAGAAGAACACTGAGATATAATAATGTGTTGTCATATTCTTAGGAGGTTTTATCTATATAACCATAAATTTCAGGAACTTCAAACATGTATTTACTAGCGTATTTGTGATATTAGTAGCAAAATAATTCCATCAGTTTCATCCTCAGCCATTCCTTTCTTCCCACCTCAATTCAAAATCTTTACAAATTGATGATTTATCTGAAAGACAACTGTGAATATGAATATCATAAACAGTAATGCTGATATTAAAAATAGAGCATGAGCTTTTAAAACAACCAAAATCCAGCATACAATTCAACTGATATTATAGATGCAATTTGTACTATGTCTACAGAAATAATATAACTATAATATTACTATATGAGAGCTATATGCAGTAACCTTATATGATTTGAACCTGAAGTGTTTCAGCAACTAAAGGAAATGCAAAGAATTTTAGGAACATGTAAGTCATTTTAGATTTCAATCTTAGCAAAATATGGCCAGTAACACTGAATTGTAGCCAAACACCAGAATTTGTAGTTTGCTTAGTTGTGCAACAGGAAGTCATGAATGGATACTATAAATAAACACCAAATTTTATTTTCTAAAAGTAAATTTTAAAACAAATTCATTTAGACTATTGCTCATTTCAGTCTTAATAATATCAGTTATGAATTATCTTCTCAAAATGTTCCCCCCAAAATGAAAGTTTATTAAACACATAAGTTGAGAACTCCAGTGAATTTATATTTTGGAAAAGAAAGTCAGGTTTTCACACTGCCTCATATTTTCCTGGTGAACTAAAAGAACACCTTTATAAGAAGCCCAAATAGTAAAGCATATATCAATGGGATGTATGATTTTTTAAAAATAATATAAATCCAGAATTTACTATAGAAGCATTCCTGTACCAGAAAGCTGATAACTTCTTAAACTCTACACTAATTTTTCTATAGCCAAGTATCCTGCTTAAAAACTCTGCCATATCAGTCTTTGAAATAATGTATTTATCTTCTTAGGTCTTTAACATTTCTATGATATATTCAGTAGAGCACTTGAAGCACCCTCAACATGAAATGAAATACAAGTAACATCAGTAACAATAAACACTGCTGAAAAGTTATTCAAAATGTCAACCTTTCCATTGTTTCATAAAAAAGATTTTTAACACGTCTTAAATGTAATGCATTTATATCACAACCCCCAAATTAAAATTATTTCAGTAATTTACAAATCCCTGGTAAGATTAATGTAAAAATATATACTGATAACAAATAATTTCACCTACTGAAAAACTGAATAGCACCTTGGGTCACATGAAGGAAAGAGTGACTATTTTAACCCAATATTTAAACTGTCTAGCCCAGGTAGATTAGAGAATTTAATTTCCATTATCAAAACTCTCTCACCCTCACCCCAAGAAAATAAAGCACAATGTGTCTATGCTTAAAATAAAGAAATTTTAAGTAACATGGACCGTTAACAGAATACTAAAATGTGTACCCTAAGTCAGTTTTTGTTATCGAATTTATATAAAAACACAAGACATCGCAAATAATTTAAAATAAAAAAACATTAGTAAAGTCTTCTCTGTGTGATCAAGTATTTAAGCAGGTGAATACTTGAAAAACAAGGTTAAACAACAAGGTCTTCTTTGAACACAATATACCATGTTGCACTAAGGATTACAAGTTTTTATTTTCTTTCTTTGTCTTGAAAAAAGGTACCTGTAGGGCTCAATCTGTTCTTTCAATAGACCATCTAAAATTCATTAATTCACTCACTCAGCAAAACCACAGAATATGCCACGAACCATTACAACTCAGGGCTGGAACTAAAATTCTAAGAAATTTAAATTCTTAAGATTCAGCAAACTGCATGTAATCAAAACACCATTTGTTCACTAAAAGAAGTATCAAAACGGGTGGTTCCCAAATCCAAGATTTTTGGACAATGATCTCTCTTTAGCGGATACCTTGTTCTATACTGCCGCTTCTCACTGGCACTTGTGGGAGCTGCCTTCCCCTTCGACTGCCGAAGGTGGGGTCTGCGGGAGGGGAGTGGGGTGGACTTCCTTGTCGGTGCGTCCTGTGGGCAGAAAACAAGTGGGGGATGAACCGATGAAATCCCAAGAGGGCCTGACACCAATCTTTTCCTTCTTCCTGCCATTATTAATACAGATATAAACCCCTTAACTAGGTCTTTGGAAGAAAAACATCAAAACTTTTTATGATACGTGTAAAAAAGTACCAGGAGAAAGGGCAGTGTCTGTCATACCCAGCTATGCACAGTGAACTCCTGGACTGCACAGAACTAGACTCACTTCTTGTTATGAACTTTCCAGAAAGTTGTGGCTTTCTATTAGGTTGTCAATTTTGGGTAGTGCTGAACCAAAAATACCTAATTCCAGCCTCTGAATCTTCGCAGTATGCATAAATTAGTTAAGAAAGACTGTTACCTAAATTGCTATTATTAAATCCATATTTATATCTAGAATCACTTATAAGTGATAAGAATAGTTAGAGCTGAAGACTTTCTATTAGTTACCATTTACTTGTACTTTATTTTTAAATAGAAAAAAAAACCTTGAAAGGTATTTAAAAAACAATCTTGGGCACATGCTATGAAACATACTGGTGCAAGAACCAAAAACATGAATAAAAATTTAGATGTGTACAGATGCCTGCTGCTGCCCAGGAGAAAGCTGATCTCCATCTGCTGGCATTGAACATGTTTTTTTTTAACCAAAGATCTTCAAAACTAAGATTTTAATGAACACATACCAAAGTTTGTTTTAAATTCCTTATACTTTTTAAAGCAAATATACATTTAATTCCACATGATTTCATATAATTAATATATATATATATATATGAATATGCCACAGACAGATGGAAGGACATAACACAGCCAAAGTTAATTTTCAATGATAGCTCATTGGCAGGAACTAGAGAATATCACCAGCACAGTGGAGATAGATGCAAGTAATAGAGGATGTGAGAGAGGTTTGTGTCACAAAGAAAGGACTAAAAATCATGGTGTCATAATGAGTGAAAGCATCGAGTGCTCAGGAAGGTACAACACCACAGCGACACCCGGAGGCAGGACATGAAAGCCGGGCTGGACACTGAATAGCGACCTGGTCAGAAGCGGAGAAGGTGGCGCCGACCCTCCGGGGGCAAGGTGGTGGACAGAACACAGTGTTCTGACACTAGAGTGCTCACTCGACCTTGAGCGAGTGGGATGTTTTCCCCTAAGGACTGGCTGATCAGTCGCTCTTGGGGCTGCGTATCCCCTTCTAGAAAGACATGGTGGGAGAACCCTAAAACATTAGGGTCAAAAAAGATCTTCAGTCAGCAGCAGGTTCACATTAACTTTAATACCAACACATCTGTCCAAGGAAGACCAGGTTAACCTTACAAGACAGTGATTTTAAAAACCAGAAGAAAACCCACCACATAGTTACTAAAATGCAATTCAATTCAAACTGACAGTTTATTGAAAATGTGCATGTCATGTAGTTTTTGAGGGCTAATCCAGATTCCTTCAATGTAATAAATCTTATAATTTCCATAGGGCCAGAGAATTCTGCTTCTCTATTACTATTATTATTTTTATTATTATTTTACTGAGCTGTATCTCTAGTGTCTACAACACCGCTGCACAGATAGCAAGAGCTCACAAAGATTTCCTAACTGAATGAGTATGTCTGACTAATGAACTCAGGGCTGTTCAAGCACTTGCCTTCAAGAAGGAATCATACACTATAGAATTATGTATATTTTATGATGTTCATGCATAATTTTACTCTGCAACAAGACGTCTATATCAAATAGACACGAAAAAGATCTCTTCTGAGGTTAATTTAAACAGATCAACAAACTGAAATGATACAGTAAGATGGAGAGCGCTTTATTATTAAACTGACTAAATGCAAAAGGCTGACATAGGGATAAAAACAAGTTCTTTAGTATATAAAATGTATATAAAAGGTAGTTCCCACATTCTGACAGTTGTCTCAATATGCTATTCAAAATTATTATAAAGCCAATTTATAAATTAAGGATTAGGAATTAAATGCTGATGTGTACACTTGCAGCAGCCCCCTTGCCCTCAGTCTTGCTTTCCATGGTCCAGTGGGACGAGAGAAAGGCAGACACCACATTCACATAATTTTTATTACAGTGTATTATTATTGTTCTATTAGTTATTGTTATTAATTTCTTACTGTGCCTTATTTCTAAATTAAATACATGTGTTTAATTTATAAATTTAACTTAAATTTATAAATTATACAGGTATGTATAGGTACAAACTAGGGGTCTTGCAAGGTCTCCCCAGTGGATAAGGGAGGACTACTACATGGGGGGGCAAAAGTAGGTTTACAGTTGTTTATATAGAAAACAACACAATAATCAATAAATAATAATACAAGAATAAACTGTTTCTCACATGAACTGTAAACCCACTTCTTGCCCCACCCTGTACATATGCTTCTTAAAAACACATACATTTTTGTATTTTTTATAATTTTTAGAATATATTGTAAATAAAATGCACATTTAAGATATCCGACACGTACTATTTTCCACAGTGATAGAAGTAATGGAATAGCATCTCATTCTTTTTAAAACAATGCTGTAAAATTCAATTAAGTAATTTAAAGTGTGTTAGGGAAAAGAATACATATTGATCACAAGGAAGTGTGTTAATTACTGAGAGCTTTATTCAACCTGTATTCAGATTGACAATTTTTCTTTTATGAAAAATGGTTTTCACAGCTATAATGATTTTGATTTAGGATAGCTTCTTTATTTCAGAACAGTAAAATGGAAAAATGTCAAGTTTTAGAAAATAAAGAGACACAGCTTAGGTTTTTAATGTGCATTTTATCTTCTAGAGATCTTGATTAATGCTTTGTCAGACTCTAGTGCGGATCCCGAAACTTGGTCTGCACCTTGATTTCCAAATTAAAAGAAAAGGAACTTTTGGTATTCTACATATTAAACTTCATTCATCCTGAACTGACTTTTGACTTAACTCTACAGAATTATATAGTTTATATGGGAAGGACTGCATGATCAAATCCTTCCCAATGATAAAGAATTAGTTTTTATCTATCATGCTTTAAAAGCCATTATCATGAGAATAAATCTCAAGTACTCTTTGTTTGAAATATACTCCCTAAATGTAGTTTGAAAATTGAATACCACGGTTCTCACCTTAGAAGTGAGACATTTCATGGATCCTGCAATTCCCTAAAATCTTGCTTCATTTCTTAATGCAAGTCATAAGTGCCAAAAGTACCTCTTAAATGTGACTTGAAATGTCAATAATTTAGGCAGACTTGATGTGGCACAAAACTAAAAAAAGCAATTTCAGGTCAAAGAAACGGCTTTCCAGGTGTTGCACAGAGCAAGGCCTGGTGACTCCGTGTTCTCATCTCCCAAGCGCTACGGGCCTGTGGGGCCTGTTTCAGGTTAATCATTCAACGCCCCATCTGTTTTTCTCTTTGACATGAACTAAAAGTCCCTCAGTAACATAACAGTCCCTGCCACCAGCCAAACTGTAACAAGTGTGAAAGCACAGACCGAAGGGCAGGCACAGAAAACCACTTTGCCTGAGGAAGAGGGAGGAGTATGGCAGGAAGGCAGAGAAACTGAGGACGGTGAAAATGCAGAACTTGAAGAGAGAAGAGCAAGGTTTTAGAGGTGAGATAATGGCCCCAGGTTTGCTTCAGACAAGAAGAAAGGGATATTGATCAAGAAGTTCTGAGATACAGGAGTGAAATGTTGAGAATCCAGACGGTGGAGCCTTGATCCGCACAATGAAATTGTGTGGGCTAAGAATGAAAGAGATTAAGAACCACCATGTTAGGGAATGGGACAGAAGTGAATGAAGATTAGTAGAATGGTAATGACAACTCTTCTTTAGTAAGCATCAAAATGAAGCTCTCTCTACATGCCAGACACTGAGGGTACATATGTATATATGCATGTATGTTTGTATGCATGTATGTTATATGTGTATATGTGAACACATACATCCATATGCATGGTCTTTGTTTGTATTCTCACAATAGTTTTTTTAAAGATTTTATTTATTTATCTTTAGAGAGGAAGGGAAGGAGAGAGGGAGAGAAATATCAAGGTTGCTTCTGGTGCATGCCCTGCTGGGAACTGGCCCCTGCTGGGAACTGGCCTGCAACCCACAAATGTGCCCTGACTGGGAATCGAACCGTGATTGTCTGGTTCCCGGGCCCGCGCTCAATCCACTGAGCTACACCAGCCAGGGGTATTCTCATGATAGTTCTGAGTAGTGTTATTATCCCCATTTTATAGATGGAAAAACTGAGGATCATACAGAGACTCGTCAAAAGACAAAGAGCCAACATGTGGTAAAAGCAAGATCCACAAAGGTCTATGGAGCTTCAAAATTTGCTTCCTTTTTGCATATTGAGGCAGAATATATTTCTATATAATGAGATATAAAATGGTAGTTTCACCCCCCGAATATATTGTTAATCTTGTAAGACAAAATATAAATATATGTCCAGGTATCAAAATTTTTAGCAAGATTTCATAGTATTGTGTCCTGACATTTTTATTCTCTTCGTTTTAAAAAAAATTTCATTTATTTTTATTGTTGTTCAAGTATAATTGTCTCCATTTCCCCCCACCACTCTCCCCCACCCCACCTACCCCCATCTCCCACCCTCAATCCTACTCCCATTCTGACATTCTGAAGGAGCAAAACATGGGAAACGGCATTGAATGATACTTAATCTGCTGTATATGTCTATATACAACTCATATTTTAAAACAAAAATGAACCTTCTAGAGAAAAATTCTAATTAAATATAAGTACGTTGGACTCTAGTCTACCACCTGCAAATCCATCCCTAACCACTGAGTTCAACAAATGTTTATTCTCTTCACTTAAGACTGGTGTTTAGGACTTGAACTTAAGTAAAACACATCACTGAAAACTTAGGTTGTTAGTCAGACATGTCTGTTGCTGTAGATGGTCTTGCAATAAATTGCTTCTATTGCAACTTAACAATAGAGCTGTGTGGTTTTTTTTAACACCCTTAAAAAGATGACCATGCATGTGCTATTTCAGGCAGGTCTTCAAAGTGGTTCCTCCTGTAAGGGCCGTTACAGGCCTAGACATGCTCTTTCCAGGAGCACTAGAGCCACATAAAATGTATACTCAAGCAAGTCTAAGTGCCTGTCCTGGCAAAACATCCCTCAGTTAGGATTAAGAGTGCAGGCTCCACAAGAAGAAAAAGTCACTAGCACAGGATGCAGAAATGGTGCTAGTGGTTCACGGGGCAGAATTCACATGGAGGTGAAAAGTCAGACTTTTACTCTGGAGTTTCCCTGAAGAATATGAAGCACTGCTTTAAACAGCGAGGCACAAAAGTCAGAAGTCCGTTCTGCCTGTGTTCTATCTACAGATGACCACCATACCTTTCCAGATATTTTCTTACAAGGCTGTTGCTCTTAGGCCAAATTTGTGTAGCCAAAAAAAGGACCTTCAACATTATAAATATTATACAAATTTATAAATATTATAGCAAATTTTGCCAGAGCCAAAGAGTGACTGTGTGGTATGACTCCTTCAGGGAAGTTGTTAGCTCCCAAAGGCTAAAAATAGCATCTGCAGCATTCATACTGTAACCTCGATTCACCTGCAGTTAGATGTCAACTCAAGGTATCTTCTAATGAAATGAGAAGTAACACAAACTTAGAAAATCCAGACCAATTCTTCTATTGTAACTAGCTGTTCAACAACTCACTTAGAAACTTTGTAATTTATATTGTAATAAAAATCAATAAAGAGCTCAAATTATAATCAAACAAATATATATACCTAAAAAGTTTGAGTTTTCTATACTAAACCTACAGGCAAAGTAAGTAAAGGTAAGTAAGGCTAATAGGAATAGGGTCCGTAAGCAGCAAACATTTGAGAGTGGGAGTCAGTTAAATCCTTACTATTCTTACCAAAGGGAGGATTTGTGTTTATTTACATAAATTTCCAGGGTTGCAAAGAAAAGATGTCCAAGTATCACTTCTCTGTAGTTAAGCCCCTTCAGTTGATCTAGAAGCATCTGACATTTTGCAACACATTACTTTATTGTCAAAAAATTTGTTCACTGATACACCATAAATATAAAATTAAATAAGCATGAATAGAATACAAAGAATACAACATTGTGGAAAAATTTCAATCATGTCAAAATAACTGAAATCATATGTGTATGAGATAGCAAGGTTATATGATGGATAAAGATTAAAAACTTAAAAACTTCAGTTGTTTACAGTGTTAGTAAAGAGATTACAGTTAGCTGAGCTGACAATAAAGGAATACAGGAACAGAAACATAATCTGTATTGTTCTATCTATCATCCATCTATCTAGTCTGGTGCATCTAAAACGCTAGAACTTCATTTTTCATTTCCTTCCTCAAAGTCCAGCTCCTTTGTAAAACTGAAATTAAAATTCAACACTTATTTTGAGTTTTCCAGTTCCTTCTTCCATTCTAAGTTAAGCTCCCTAAATAGTTAATATCCTGAAAGACCATTAGCCAGGAATAAATTCCATCTCCCCTTCTCACATCCCTTGATGTGACTAATACCCACTGATTCTTCAGATCCCAACTCAGAGGTAACATCCTCTGGGAAGCCTTCCTTTTTTGCTCCTATTTTATTCAGTGAACTTAGCACACAGTGGGCACAAGTTTGTTTGTTAATTGAATGATTCACTGCCTTGCACAGATTCTACCTCAACCAAAACCACTGTGACAGCTTTACTGGTATAGTACATGTACCCTCGGAACTTCCAGACTGCCTTCCAAAGTGCTGTTGAAGTGACTTAAAATTCTGAAACTCAAAACCAATCATGTGTCTCCATGGTTAAGGCCCATCCATTAATGTTTCATGGAATAAATCAGAAAGTGAAGATCTGCAGCATGTCCACGAGGGCACTCATAATACAACCTCTAAGGACTTACTCAGTTTTATCTTCAGCCCTCTCTCCCATCTCCTGCATCCTAGTCTCCCTCCCCAGATGGGTATGGCTTCCCCACACCCAAGAAAATATTTTAGGCCTCACTGTATTCTCATATTGTTCCCTTCTCATGCAAATCTCTACTTTTCACACCTACTTGTATATATCTGGATTTAGCTCAAGTGACACCTGTTTATGAAATATTTCCTAACTCGTAAGCACTACACTCTTCTCCCTGTCCTCGCTGTATCTCATGCATGTCTTTACAACTTCTATGGCACAGGAATGTACTCATTCATTTATATCTATGTTACCCTGCATGCTTTCAATAATTGCTCGACTAATAAATATGTTAATTGAATTTCTGGTGTTTCTTACAACTATGTAAAAATATAAAAAAAATACCTTGCACACAAAATAGTAAAAATAATGTGGAATTAGATGAGTTACTAATAAAAAATCAGCAATTCTTATAATTTCTGTATTAACTCAGCAAATATCTTTGTAATATTCAAGTAGAATCTCAGATTATCTGTATATAGAAATTAAATGTTTTAAAAGATGGCATTAATTAAATAAATAATAGACACTTAAATAAGAACTACTTGCATTTTTTAGGTACTATATTCATTGTTAATAAGTAAATAATCTCAGGAACAAAATATAAATGTCCCAATGTAATATACAGAAATAAGTATGGCTTTAATTCTATTTAATAATCAGAATAATCACTAAGATAAAGGCATGAGATTTTTTTTGAGCCCCAAGACTTAAGGGCTGTCTTCAAATCACCCTTTTCTTGTTTTTCAAATGACACTATTCCATATAGGAGATCTGTTTACATGAATGTCTTTGAACATCACGGTTTGTATAGAAGAACTGACCATGTGCTCATATGCAGAGTGAAGCGCCCTGACTGTGGTAGCAGAACGGAAGAGGGCCACACACGCGACGCCAAGCCTACCTTTCTGCATCAGAGGCAATGCCTGTCCTAGTCTGTTTTGGGATGCTAGATCTTTCAGACTTTCTGGAGTGCCTGTGGAATGAGATGTTAAAGAAATACAAATATGTGATGAATAAAGCTACAGTAGTATCATACAATGATAAAAGCAACAGACATAAAAATGATAACCATCTCACCTAAATGGTTTTGTCGGTCAGTATATTTTAAAATAAAATAGAAAGTGAAAATCAGAACTGGTGCTGTTTTTTGGGAAGACACAAACTGACCAACAGGAGACAGTGAGCTGACATGCCATCAGGCTAAACAGAATGCGGTGATATTTAACAGGGACTCCTGCTGAGCAACCGCGCCTCTCCTAGTGAGTAAGCAAATTCAACAGTGAAATGTGGTGATGACAAGTGTCATGACAGAAATGGTTTCGGTGCTAAAAGATCACAAAGGGATGAAGTGACTGCACTTTCACAAGTTGAAACTTGGTGCTACAAAGATTTTCCCTTTGTTTTTTTCCTCCCACAACATTCTGAATAGAAAAAAATGCTAAAGTGAAATCTTTTACATAAGTAAGAATACTTTAAAGTAACTATTAAAATAATCATAAAGATGTGTTTGTAATCATATAGCATTTTAAAAGTGAATCACATCACAAATCAAAGAACTGATAATGTTTCCAATTTACTCTGTCCCAAAGTACAAATGCACACTGAGCATTTGGGACTTGAATGCATTTTCCCATAGAAACAATGTTTATATACAAAGCTTACTTACATCCCTAAGGCAACTTACACCTGCCTATTCACCCTAAAATGTGCTGAACTATGATATATTTAAAATAAATATAAAATATTATGGTTGAGAAATTCACATATTTTAAAAAAGAGAAACCATAAAACAAATATATATTTTATCTCACTGTCTATAATTTATGCTTACTTTTCTTTCCCAATATCCTTTCCTTCTAACAATGGTAAGAAGACAACTGTTTGTCTTTTTTAAAGCTATAATTGACATATAACATTATATTGGTTTAGGTGTGCAACATAATTATTTGATATTTGCAAAATGATCACCATAATAAGTCTAATCAACATCCACTGCCATACATATTTACAATTCCTTTTCTGTGAAGACAACTTTTCAGATCTACTCTCTTGTCTTCACTCTGCTTATTTATCAATACGAGATATCCTGAGAGTTCAACATACCTCATGTCAAGACCTATCAGGAACCAGGGACACATATGGAAGTACAAAGTCGGCCTCCAGAAGGTGCAGAGACTTCTGGGCCTGCTCATCTCTCTCCCTCTTTTCTCCTTACCAAAGTCTAGGTTAATAGCACTCTGTCCCTCAAAATCAGCATATGGTTTAGAATCTGGGTTTTTCAGTCTTTTGTTACTCTGACAAAATAGAGGAGGAGGACATCTCTCACTTAACTACTTTCCTTAACTAGCTAGAAAAGAGGGTATACTGCAGGACAGCTGAATGCCAGGCACTGAGAGAGGCACTCGCTTATTTAACCCACATGACAGTTCTTTAGGTTTCATCTTCATTTTACAGATGAGGAAACAATCTTAGGGCAGGGCCCCACAGCCAGTAATGAGCTGAGCTGGCGTGAGGAGGGAAGCCTGTGTGGCTCCTCAGCTGTTTCTCTCATGTGCTGTCCAGCCAAGAGGATAGAGGGGATAATTCGGATGCACGCCCTGCGGTGCACACTTACTCAGGAAAGAAGAAACCACGAAATTTGGTCCGCAGCCAGAAAAGTACTAAGAGAAGAACAGTCTTTCTGATATAAGGGATGGTTCTCATTCAGTTTGTTGAGCATTTGGTTAGGAGAGGGCACTGTAGGGTATAGAGGAGTAGAGAAGTATATAGTGCATGCCTGAAATCAACGGGAGATGCTTGTTGGGAAGGAAGCTTGTTCCTAAAGCAAAGGGGAGGGAGGCATAGAACACAGCAGAAGGAGCTGAAGGAATGGAAGGGCAAAGGCAGAGTGAGGTCTGTAGGCCCAGTAGGTACCTCAGTTCTAAATAAAAAATGGTATAATTATGGGAATTTATGCTTGGTTAGAAGAGGACTCAGGGACCAGGAGAACAAATGTTCCTTTTCTCATCTCCCACACAGTGGGAGTCAGCAAAAGCATAGAGTTGTAGGCCAATTCACAAAACTCACTGTCATGAAGGGTTTTCACTAATTCATTCATTCAACAAATTATTTGTTGAGCACATATATACATACACTAGGCACTGTTCTAGGTGCTTGGAATATTTCTGTGAACAAAACAGAAGAGTTCTGCCTTCAAGAAATTGGCATTTTATTGGTAGAAGACAAATAGGCAACAACAAAATCCTTCAAACAACTAAGCTACATAGTATGTTAAAATATGACCAATGCTAACAACAACAAAAAGTAAACCAGGGCAAAAAGGATCAGAAATGTGCGTGTGGAGGGTGGGTGGGGCAGCTGCAGATTACAATTTTAGGGAGGGTGCTCAGGAAAGGACTCACTGAATTGGTGACTGTAACAAAGACAATAATAAGGCAGAGGGGTTAGCCATGGACGTACGCAGGGAAAACATGTCCTGGGCAAAGATACCGAGTGCAAAGGCCCAAAATTAGTTGTGTGCCCCGTATGTTCAAGAACAGTAAAGAGGCCAGAAAGGAAAGTATTAAACGAGAAGAGTCAGGTGGCAAGAGTTTGGGGAATGGACAGGGGGAAGCTAGGGATGTACAGAAAAATCTGGTAGGCCTTTGTGCAAACTTTCTACCTTTGTGCAACAAAATGGTTAAGGTATCTTTTAGGACTTGACTGCTTTCCCTCCTGCCCCTAGTAATTTTTATAAATCTTTCTAGATCCAAGTGAGAGTTTACTTCTGTAAAACTCTAAACTCTTCCTCTTCTCATCTCCTAAAGCCCAATGATTCATATACTTCATAGGTAATCACAGTAACTGATGGTGCCAGTGGCAACAATGATGATGATGACACATCTCACACAAACATCTAACTCACGCCACGGACTTGCTGTAGGCTATCATGATCACGGTGTCTGCATTACCTCATCTACTCTCACCAACCCAACTGTAATGATTTAAATCCTGGCTGGCTACTTAGATGGCTTCACAGGGAATACAAATCTCTATCATCTTGTTTACTCAAAAGTTTGGGAATAAAAAATAAATCTGAAGAGACTCTACCTAAATAAATGTTCATATATAGAGAAGATGGTTGTACACAATGAAGATACATTTACTCTTCTGTATATAACTGATATTTGTGTATATGACTATAGGCATTAAGTAGACTCTAACTCACTATTTATAATACATAGGTACATTTCATTCAGTAAATACATTTTTGAAAGCATGAATTATAAAGGATATCATGAAGCACTCAAAAATAATTAGTAATGCACTGACTCTATATGTGTTTTTATATATTCTCCTCATCAATTGTGGCAACTGCCATTAATTCTGGAAGTGAAAAGGGGGTGATTTCTTTATTCCGGAAATATTTTGAATGGAGAGAGAAGATTCATTCACGTTGAATCAAAAGGAATCACTTCATACTTTTGGCCAAAGTTTCTGACGGGCAAGTGGGTACTACAAAGTAAAAAGTGTGGAAAACATACAAATATGGTTCTTTGCAAAAGAAATTAGAGATACTTTAGCAGAACAACACAGGAATTAATATAAACACAGTGAGTACTTGTTCCAACAATTTAAAGTCCTGAAGAAAGAGTTATTTTATCAAATATTTTCAGTATTTTTTAAGTCACAAGTAGATATAAATTTTATTACAATTCACAAAGTTATATATAGGTCAATAAAAGTTACTTTTCATATATTAAAATAATGCCATTTATAAAGAGATACTTTGTTATTAGAATGATGATTCTTATCAGTCTCAACATTTTAGTAAGCTGAAAGAAAATTTTCACTACATTTTAAAAGTCAGAAACAGTTCCTGGGATTACAAAATTATAATTTTCTTCATTATTATTTAAAATAACCTACAACTTAAAAAATTCCTTTATTTAGATAAAATACTTCTATGTTAATTCAAAGTAGATCTATTGAACCACTTCGGATGACGTCAACACTGGGTACTGCTGAAATCCAATTATGATGAAATGATACATTAAAAACTGTGTGTGTGTGTGCACTCACACTGTGACAAATGCAAGGTCAGCTAAATAGTTTCCTACTTACTAGAGAACTCTCTTGAACAAAGGTTTACTTTTTGGGTATTATTTGTTATTTTCAAAATTATCAATAAGAGCTCTGATTCAGGACATCCAAAGGCAGATTATATAAATTGTCACTGACTTTAGAACATGTTTCTAGCTAGCAGTGCACAGGGTGAAAGCCACCTTATCTATATATTTACCGCTCCCAAATATAATGCTATATCCACTTCATTTGCAAATTGGTGGAAACTTTTAAATGAGTACATAAAAGTGCTGAGGCAAAATGCAAGTGTTAAATTTTGCCAAGTGGTTGACATAGTTATCTAAGAATTTAGCATCTGTTGATGTAAAACTCTTGTTTTTATGCCCGTATGATGTCTATACTTCATTAAAAGTTTATTGCAAAAATTTTTCTATTCCCTACAGTAATAAATCATAGTATCAAGGCATTTAAATGTATTTTTTGGTTGAACATGGATTTATTTAAAAATAAGTAATAATGAAAAAGTAAATATATATTCAGAATTATGTATTAGTAAGAATTACTTTATAATTTTATCTAAAATATTTGTAATACTAAAATTTTAGTCTTAAAGTTATGGGTGCAATCTATGAAATTGAGTAACATAATTCTTATGTCTTTTAATAACTAATTTTCAATTAATTGTCATCTTATATAAGAACTAAAAACTATTATTCAGATTTCCATTTTGCTCAAACAATGCCCAGATAATCTTAAATTTATATTCATTACAAAAACCATCTTATTTAATTGTCCTCAAACAGTGATTATATAATATGAAATACACTGATTCACTTGCATTGGAATAAATTTGAAGGCTTTCCAGAATTGCCTTTTATAAAATGAAATGATAAGTCCCATGATCATGACCTTGGATTCCGGAAAACACTGCTGTGACTTTAGTCATTAGAATAATGCACACATTAGGAGCACAACAAGTATTTGTTAAATGAATGAGTAGCAGTGACGATACAAACGTTTATTTGCTTTATACTATTATTTTACATTCTTATTTGAAAAGACTTTAAGTTTATATTTTTCACACTGAAGATTTTAATAATTTTCCTAGTCTCAGAAACTCTGTCCTAGAAATCAGATAGCTGCCCTGGCTTGTATGGCTCAGTGGATTGAGTGCTGGCCTGCAACCGAAAAGGTCATCAGTTCGATTCCCTGTCAGGGCACGTGCCTGGGTTGCAGGCCAGGTCCCCAGCTGGGGGCGAATGAGAGGCAACTGATTGATGTTTCTCTCACACATGGATGTTTTTCTCCCTCTCTTGCTCTTTCCCTCACTTCCCCTCTGTCTAAAAAAAATAAATAAATAAATAAAAAGAAATCAGATAGTAGAAGAAATTACTTTTAAATTCAATATATATGTGATATTAAGAAGTAAATGTCTTAAAGACTAAAACATTATAAAATACCACAAAGGCCTTCATAAAAATAGCAGTTTGTGATATTTTCCAACATTTTTAAAATGATGTATTAATTTATTCTGACAGTGTTTAGTGTTCCTTTTAAATTGACATCCTGAAAATATCTCTTTATGGACACAGACAATAAATGATATTACTCTTCACTAATGTTACAACTACTCTGCTCTATACACACATATTTTTTTTAAAAAGAACTCATATGTTGGCATGACTAGTTGTTCTATTTCTGAGATACCACATATACTATCTACTTAATAAATATTGCTAATGTGTTGACTGAATTTCTGCTTATACCAAAAGAGAAGCATCGAAAACACCCAATAACCCTTTGAGACCAATTGGGAAAAGATTATTTAAAGATAAAGTCTATATAAAAGATAACAAGCACCATAAAATAGTGAACTGAGTGAACTACAACTGAGAAGGAAAACAAAGCGATAAAAAATAAATACTGTAGAACTTCTGATGTATCAGAATGAAGTGGATTCTAAGCATGGATGCTATTTTTAAAAACCTAATATGTGGACTGACCCTAGCTCTTGACAGTATTTGGTTTAAAAACACAATATTCATAAAATATATAAGAACCAGGTGTTCTACTCTAAATCAGACGTTTTTAAATACACCCCAAAGCCTAAGCTTCATTTACAACAAGCTTAAGCAGTAGCAAAACAAGACAACTGAGATCACACCATCAACCAATATACATAACAAAGAACAGACTAGGCTCTGGATAGACTTTAACATATTTTAAAGCACCTAAGAATTTTTTATTTATTTACATGTGAACAATAGTTAAATTTATTTTTAGATATAAAAAAAACTAAAATAAATACCCATTCTTAAAACAGAACTCTTCCACTGGAATCGACTTGTGTTTACACACTGCCATTCATTAAACCACTACCCTCATTTCACTAATTCCGAGGTGCTTTATTAAAGGTGGATGCACTTATTGACAGAACCACAACACATCTGGCTCTGGCTCCTGGAAGGAAGCATGTCATAACCATCATTTCACTTGCTTATCCTCCATTTGGTGGCCTCCAAGCTCTGGAAGCCACTCGTGTGGGAGCAGGAGTTGACTAGTACCTGTCATTCTCCGGTGATGCATGCTGGATTTGAATCCTGGGGCTAGGAGGTCGTCTCCTATCTAGGGAGGGGGACCATCTACCCCTGTTTGCCCAATGAACAAGACAGGAAAAAACAGGACATTTAGTAACTCCTAAAATAAAAGAATATATGGTACAATAGGACTGGAAAGGCACCCCAAAAAGGCAAAGTATAGATTCTTCACTCCATAATTTATTCTTGACTTTTACAAGCCTTGGAAAGATAAACTGTAATATAATATTGTAAGAATATAAGATGTAAATATTTTTAAATGAATACAAATTTTATCTGGAAAGGTGTTTCGAATATCGAATGTAGTTTTGCTCTTTTAAAATGTATTTGTGTTTGTATACCTATCTAAACACATAAATATGTATGGAACTTTAAGTTAAAAAAGATACATCCTTAAGAATCTGCCTTATGTTTGAATAAAACAGGTTTAATAAGCCACCAGTGTTTATTTAATAGTAGGCCTTGAAATGACTGGATCAAGTGGCAAAAATGAGGTGTGTAGATTTAATACAAAGTAGAAAGAGTTTAAGTGGAAGAAATCAAAATGTTCTCTAGTGTGTAAACAATGACATGAAAAAATATTTTGTAAGAATGCTAGCAGTGAAGTCTTAACAAGTTTTCTTAGGGAAAACTGCAGGACTTACTTAAATTTTAAAATTATGAGTAAAAGAACGCCAGTGAATAAAAATAAGAAATATAGATTAGTGCCATGCTAAATTCACCTTTAAAAAAAGTATACTAATCTTTACTTGCAAAAGTAGTTCTCAATGGGTTAAATAGTTGTTTTCTTATTTCAGTACTTATAATACTTTTTTGTATGTGATTCACAGTTAAGTAAGTGTTTGAAATTGGTTCATTCCTTTGTTAAAGTATCTTGAGATTCCATCTACATATAACCACAAATTCAAAGCAACTAGTCAAATACTTAAAAGTGGTAATACAAGGCTAAATAGGCCAGACTTTGAAAATTTTGTATATCAGAAATGAGCATTCTGAACAGGATAATTCCTTCCTCCTAAGCAGCATGAGTTAACTGAATGGTCTTTAAGAACTCATCGAGCTGTAAGATTTTATAATTATCGTGAGTGGACTAGTCCTAATGTTTCAGAAAGAAAGTCAGTGTTTTTTCCTGCCATTATAACTTGGTTTATGAATGTATTCAATAGTTTGGACAAAGCAGCAAAGGGCTTCCAACATGTGACCAGACTATCTGAGGTCAGCAGGTACTCAATCCTGATGGCCCCTTGGAAGCCTGTGTCTCACAGATCAGTGGTGGATGGACAATCTTGATGCGATCTGAGTAGGGCTCTGAGGAGCTATGAAGTGGATGAAAATACTCAACAGCAGAATTTGGACAAAAAAGAAAACTGTGGGGCATGTACCCTTAAATGTGTTACACGTTTGTAAAATCAGAAACACTTTGCATTAATTTTAAATTATAGAATTATTTAGATTTAAATAGTTGGTCAATCCAATATGAATGCTTTAAAATATATCTTTTTACTTTACTGACTTGTGTTCTCCAAATGTGATAAAAACTACTTCTCAAATAAGGGAAAATAATTACAACTAAAGTGTTTTCTACATTGTTATATTTGGTTGTGTTAGACCCATTGTGTTATTTAAAAACACAAAAAATAGAGTTATGTGTTTTGTAAAGTAGTAATATTAACTCAACAGGATTATGAATAAACTTGCTTCCTGAGGCAAAATTCCAGTCCTTGTGTTTTTTAAACACAAAAGTAAAGAAAAAAAAGCTGTAATTATGAAACATGCAGTGAAAGCTATGAAGGATAAACATGTACACTTAGAAATAAGCAACTGTAAATGCAAGCTTTTAACAAGTAATTTTGAAGAAGTATTTAGCATAATTTGGGTATATCTGTACACTCAAAGTCCTTCAAAATATGCTGATAGGTAGTACCAATATGAGAAATTTCTTCACTTTTCCCTCATATATTTGATATGACGGGAGCTGAATCAACTTATACCCGATTCTCCCCAAAGAATAGATATTACATACATTTTAATATTATACATCTATAAGCTGCATATAAACTAAACTATTTTATATGTTTAGTTTGCATGCTTTTAAAATGTATGCAACTTCCTCATCCTTTCCTCTTATCAAACCAAAGAAAAGGATCAAAATCGGAATCTTTGTCCCCTATAATTGAGCCGCACACACAGCTTCAGCCACTGCTTTCATCTTAGAAGTGGACATGGTAGACTAAGTCATAGTTATTAATCATGAGGTTGAACTAAACCAATTAGTTCTCGATTTCTCTTTCCAAACCAGCTTGCCTGTAGGTTACATTGTTAGGACTTTCATATCAGATATTCTAAATTCACTAATTCAAGAACACCTATTTGTTGGGAGCCCATCCTTTTCCCAGGCTCAGAATACAGAAAGAAAGGTTACTATGAAGATGTCTATGCCACTGAATCAACAGGCTGTGAGCTCCTTGCAAAAGGGAACTGTAGTGTTTTGTTTTGAAAGGTACCTCAGTTATACGCAGCACAGAATAAGTAATCAGTAAGTATTTGTAAATATTTAAGTAGATAATAAGGGGAGAAGACCTTAAGGTTTGTGATAATGCAGGTAAGAAATAATGAAAACTTTACTAAGAAATAAATAGTAGTGAGGAGACCCACTGATGAGATATAAAGGAAGTGCCTTGGTAAGCAAGGTTCCTAGGTTGTGGTCTTCCCCTCCCAGCAATGATATATCTTTAAAAAATGTAGATGTGTTTAAGTGTATAATGAATATACACACTTTCATATATATGCATGTTTCAGTAGTGCACATTTCTTGGCAGGACATGGCTACGTAGCTTCTAAAATCTAAAAGAGAAATTATACGGAAATATGAATCATTCATTCCATAAATAGCCCAAATAAAAATACCTGTGAACTACTATGATATTAGAAACCAAATGTGAACAAATGAGATAACTGACACACAACATGCACTTTTATTGCCTGTTCCCATTATTCAGTTTAGTCCAGAGGGGGAGGGGCAGCCTTAAAAAAAGGTTCTATAGAAAATATGGTTATTTGACTTGCATTTTTGAAGAATGAGTGGAATTTTTAAGTGGGTAACAAAGGAGATGGGGCATTTTGATTTTAATGGAAAAAAACAGGGAAAGAAAACAAGTAATAAAAACTGTTAACAGAACTTAGGAGAAAAAAATGGGGGCAAGAGTGACCCCGGAACTGGAGATGGGCTGTATTACGATCGAAGTGAGGGTTCTGTCTCAGATTCTCGAGAGAACTGAAGACTTTAATGACCCTCCACTGAACGTTCAGGAGGAGCAGGAGAAGTATTTCCAGATTCTGTGGGGGGTTAGATGGCAAGGCCAACAAATGTGAGAAAAACATTAAGAGGAAACATTTTGCTATAAAATGACATAAGGGGAGATAAGGAATTTGATTCAAAGTCTGAGGTATATAGGATCTGGCAACCATTTATAAATTTAGGTCTAATACTCATGGGGAAGGGCTGGCCTGGGCAATTACAATGGAGTGTTATCTTCACATGTACTGGAATGGAAACTTTTGATAGAAATAACAACTTCAGGGACACAATGACTGGGGCGGAAGAGGAAATCTGAGGGTGGAGCTAAGAAAATACATAACTTTATGAGACAGGAGAGGAAGAGGTGCTTGCAAAAGTAGGCTGGGTTATAGTGAGGCATAGAGAAATCTGTAGAGGGTACCAGGGATAGGAGAAGTTCAGTGACAGGGTGGTTAATGTAAAATGTTGCCAGATGATGCTGGACAAGTGAGGAGGCACTATAATTCAGAGAGGAATTTCAGCATAGCGGCGGAGTGGGGGGAAGTAGAAGACAGAGCACAGCGTTACTGGGAGGTAAAAAATGGAGGCAGTAAGTACAGACTTCCCTCTGAAGCGCCTTCAGTAAGGCTATGATTTTTATTGCAAAGAAAGAAAGGAAAGAAAATCTCTTAGACAAGTAACTATTCCCAAGTGGCTCTAACAATCCCCATCTTTGAACATTTGAGCAATAATTTGTATTTAAAAAATAAAAAGTAAAATAAAAAACCCTAGAAAAGGAAAGGTTAGTAGCAGATCTTCCCAATCAGGAACAGAAGAGAATGAAATGACCTCAGGCAGACCTTGATGGAGATAAAGGGAAAGAACAAGGACCAGACCTCCTTGTAAACACATAGTGGCAGTTGCTGGTAAAAAGATAAAAGGAGTTTCCTCATTTATTACAAGTCTTTAGTACCTTGAAACTAGTTTTTCTCGATCTTTTATTGTAAATAAACCCAACACTTCTTGATTTAGAGGTCATGACTGGTTGGGGGAATGGGAGAATCCACAATAATTTTGCTATCTGTGTAATCAACAGAATATAAAATGAGCCCCTCAAAATTACCTGCACTACTCAAAATTCATCTGTTAACCTGGGCCAAACCACCCAAACAGGGAAGAAAATGTGGGTCTGAGGGCTCCAACTCCTTTGGGAGAAGAATGTCAGAGTGCATGGTTCTCCTTTACTTTGAATCATTACTGAAGTATCAGGTTGGGTATTGAGTCTGATTTGAGAATTCCGTCCTTTATATTTACACAACACTGTGTTTTAAAAATTAGTGAGGGTACTTCATGAAGGGTATTAAGTTGGTATAACAGCATATAAATAGTCACAAATGGCCTGAAAGTCAGCAAATTGTTTAAACTTAATAGTTCATAAAGCTGTAGAAATATGTTAGTATCTTAAGAATATGAAATTATATTGTAAATATATCTTATCTGACATTTCATATACTATGTATATATTAGGCATTGAAATGACGAGCTCCCTGTTCAATCAGAGAAATTAACTCACTGGGAAGCCCTCATCCAACTCTGCACATCCAACTCTGCACATCCTGTCTGGGGACTTGAGGTAGTTTCCTAAGAGAAACGAGCTACCACTCTCGACACTGTTAGGCTCTGCTTTGTTTGAAGCTGCCTATTGGTGTGTGCACAAAAGGGTGTTTGAGACCCTTATCCTCTACCCAGTAAGCATCTACACCTTCTATCACTTTTTTGATGAAAACTTACTTTATTTTCCTCTCGGCAACAAAGTGACTCCAACAAATTTAAAATCATCGATAACGGCAGTGCCTGCTCCCTTTCATTTTTAATGAAAAATTTCTTTTTATTCAATATATAGTTTTTCAATCACGTTTTTCTTCTCCCCTCAAAGGCAAGCACACTCAATTGGTCTTCGTGATGGCCTGACCTGTATGTTAACGGGGGCCAGAGTTTTTCAACAGGTTGAGCTCTTTTAAGGGTGTTGCCTGGGAGAGTAAATGCGAGTACACAGGTTTTGAACCCTACGGCTGCAGAGAAATGCATGCGAGATAGCCTTCAGCAGGAGAACCGCTCTGTATTATCCAATACGGCAGCCACAACTCACATGTGGCTATGAACAAAAAGGAATGCAAAATATCTCACTAAAAGTTTTAAATTGATTGTGTGTTGAGAGGATGGTATTTCAGATATACTGGGTTAAATAAAGTATTAAAGTTAATTTTATTTTAACATCAATGCAGCAACTAGAAAGTCTGAAACTGCACACGTGGCGTGCACTGTTCCGATCCGGTGGCGCCACACTGCCTTAGCGAGGCACGCTGTGGGCGGGGATCAGTTGGGAGAGCCCACGCCCACCGACCAAATTATTGTCCCCTGGTTTTAGTGCCGACCAGAAACATAAAGGGAGATAAGGATAACTAAAAATTATTTTTCTCGCTACTCTTGTATTTATTTGGGGGGGGTAATCTATGATAAAGAAAATACAATCATTTCTATTATTCTAGAAGAGTCTATAGTCATTACAACTAAAATTCTATTACAAATGTAAAGTAATATAAAAATAGTTAGATTTCATTTTCCTATAACAAAATTTACAAATATAGAAGAGTACAAAATAAAGAAATTTTTAGTAGAATCTTACCAAAACACTAAAAAATAGGTATGTCTACCTGTATGTATTATCCCATGGTATAAATAAATATCTTATAAATAAATGAATCAGACTAGAAAAATTCCTGAAGAAAAGCTTTGAGTGGTATCTGAAGAAGTGGATTATATTAGCATGACTAAATATTTTTCTTCAGGATTTGCAGTTCGTATGCAAATTTCCACTGAATAACTTCTAATTGGAAAGTGGTAACAATTATAACCAAGACTATTAATTATAACCAAGTTTACTGGAATAGAAAGTTTCATCATAATGGAAAAACTAGCTGCTTGCAATTAGGATACAGTGTTAAAATCACTGAATACATTTAATTTAAAATTATAATTATTTACTAATCAACCAATTACAAGTTTTAAGCAAAATTACGCATATGTATGTACACATACATATATTTTTATTTATTTTTTGTGTATTTATTCTTTAAGGAATCAGTAAATTTATGGTAAACATGCCATTTTTGTTGTCAAAATATAAATTAATGCAAAACTTGATCTATATCAAAGAGTAGTTTCGTTAAAAAGGGAATACAGATGCACAGAGGAAGTATTCTATCTAAATAGAATCCTTATTTTTATTTTATGGAAGATTACTGTTAAACCTCTAAATACCATTTATCAGTGGAACTAATAGAAAAATGGTCCTCCCCTTCAAATAACTCATTGGACCTTGTAACTTATCAGCATACTGAAGGCTTCATGAGTAGTATGTAAATAAAACAACTAAACAGCAACAGAAGGAGAAAAGCTGCAGCCAGAAGCAGCTAGAAATTATATCACACCATTTGCAACAACATTCATGGAAATATGTGTATATGGACCCTTGGGTTTATCCACATACACATATCTCTCCACAGACGTGTAGAATAAGGGAGGGGAAAATGTAGACAGTTAGCAAAGTGAACATGAATGAATAAACCTGTGAGACACACATGAAACAAAACAAAGTGACTGAAAGAAATCACTAGCACAAATGACAGGAAATTAAGAAAGTCTTTATTTTATACCTTTCTCGTTCTGGTGAATGCAAACTAGTGTCTGGTCTCAAGCAGTTGGTACTAGCACTCCTAGCCCTGTCAAGGGAGGGCTGCAGTTCACTAGTGCCAGTGCATTGCATCCAGTGGTAGAAGAGAAAGACAAAGAAACAAAGAGAGGAAGACCATGTTAGAGAGTAAAGCATAAAGTAATGTCCCCTTTACATAAAATGTAGAATCACTACGATTCAGTTCGTAAGGCTGTGAAAGGGCTGACGGGATGGCAGTGCAAAATTTTGTTTAGAAAATGAAACTAAACAAAGATTATGCTTGAATTGCTTTGCATAATTTTTTTAAAAGGGTCTCAGACTGAAAAATGACACCAAATCACATCTGCTTATGAAAAAAACTAAATACAGAAAGCACTAAAACAAAAGGCCTAAAACTTCATTACCAAGAACAGATGCCACGCCAAAACAAAATGAAGGACATCAGAGGAGAAAAATTTTACAACTCAACTGTTTGGGTTCACAACACTAGACAAAGGAAGCGGAAGGTAAGATTTCCGCATGTTCTTCCCTAACTGGTGCTTCACCAGTACATCTCACCACTTTTGAGCTACAGCATTCATGGTGAGGAGGAGAGTCCTGTCTAGTCACTGATTTGGTTTGAGTACGTGCAAGCAAAAGTGAGCTCACAAATGAAAATTATCCAAAAATGAAACGGTATGGATTACTTCTGATTAAAACCAACAAGTAAAACGAGAAAAAAAGACAAAAGAACATAACCAGAATTCTGACATTTGAGTAAGATTTCATTCAGAGAAATCTACGATTCATGTTTTATCATTAAAACTATTTTTAGGTACTATTAACTCAATGTTTCTTGTGTATGATTAATTTCAAGGGAAATGTTAATGCTTTATTAGGACGTAAATTTGCTATCTTTAATAGGCAAAGGATTAGAGATTAGTTTGGGACTCACTGTTAGGACTTCTACCTGTAAATGTCCCAGTGAGAACCACTCTCTAACAAAAGCATCTTGGGCAGTCATGTTTTATAGTGCCCAATAATATGTCTGGGGCGTGGCCACACCAACATGTAGAAAACAGGAAAATATATATGAAGCACATTTATACACAGATATGAAAAAATTAGGGGGCCTATAAAGCTAAAACATTTATAGATTTTGTTTTTTTCCTCAAAATAACCACAATAATTATTTGAAGGTAGGATTAGAATAATTAAAATAGGGAATCATAGATATCTGTCTTCATAAATAAGATAATAACTCAAAATTACAGTTTAATTATTATATGAATTACCAATATTTAAATTTACTGTATAATTCCTGCTTTAATATTATACCTGCTTCCATGGAAGTAAACAACTCATAGCTCAAAGTCCTAGCCAAACACCATGGTATAATCTGTCACTGGCTATTGAGTGAGATGGGCATTATATGCAAACCAGAATATGAATTCTGATGTGGCAGAAAATGGGCAAAACAAGACCGAACTTTACTTAAATTTCTTTAAAATCAGTGAGAGTTTCTGAAATACCTATAGCACCAAGAACAAACTAGGTCCAGTTAATTAATTATTTTTTGATAATTTAATTTATGTTTCCATAAATTGCTCACTGTGAAAGTCCAGTGTTCATTTTGCCTTACACTAAATTATGATAGAAAAGGAAATGACATAGTCAGTTAGCCACAATATTTTTTGTATGGCACTACTTTCTCAGGACATATTTTATGAAAAAAACACGAGTTTGATGGTTAAGTAATGTAAGGAAGAATGGATTAAACAATATGAGAGATATCTGAATACATGACTTAAAGTTCTCTGTATATTAAATCTCCACGGAGGGGCTGTAATTTGAAGTTTTCAAAATCTATCTGAGTCACAAATTTTTTACTGGTGGAGCACCACCAGGACCAATTCCGCAGAACATACTATGAGAAAAGCCAGTTTAGTGGAAAATGTTGACTAGACATGATTTTGACTCCTTACTCTGTTATCAAATTAAAATTTATTATCACCTTTCTTTACCTGTAAAATGTGAATAATAATATTAATATCATATAATTATTGTCAGCAAATTGAGACAAAGTACATGAAATACTTAACACTGTGCTTAGTATTCAACGCAATTTATTTTCCTTGTTAACTGGAAAAGAGTAAATCCTTAAATTTTATTCTGAAAATTCCTAATTGAATATGATATAATGTATTTTGAAGATAAGATTATATAAACTGATTAAACTATTGATACATTGTATCTTATGAAATCCTGGTATTTCACCTTTAGAAGTAAAAGTAAATTTAAAAAGTATATTTAGCTATTCTAATTCGACTATTGGTGTGAGAACATCAGAAACAGCCACACACTGGGTCACAGACAGGCCACACCGGGCACCTAGTAAATGTAAAGTTTTGGGGGTTTTTGTTTTTGTTTTTACACTTACTGAGATCAAGAGGAGCATAAAGAAGTGTGAGGAAACTCTGAGTTTCTAAATAAATCATTCCTATTAATATACTATTTTTCAGGAAGAAAACTAATAGTAAGCCTGGACAGTTGAGCATTATAAGAAATGAGATGAGTTAATTTTTTAAATAGTTTTGGTTTTGTATTTTTCCCTACTCCACAAACAGAATGAATATTTCCTCATTTTTTCCTGTGACACTATAAGCAAACATGGCAATAATTATTGATAGGATTATTTTATACATATAAAAAGTTAATTCTTACTAGTATGATAATGTTTGCATTATTAAGCAGAATCACATGTTCTGAATAGACAGTAAATTTGCCCACATTTCTCCTTGCATTGCAGGTATTCTAGTTACAGCTCTTTCCTTCTCTATTCTACCTACTTTTCAATGGCCAGAACATTTAGAAGAGTTTGTCTCTGTCATTTCACTTCCTTATCTTATGCAATCCAAATTGACAACAAGTATTTACAGACTTAATTCTGAATAATCTCTAAGAGGATTTATTTTGGTTATGAAATCCAAGATGTAATGAGATTATTTAAAGTATCAGGTTCTAAGCTCCAATTTAAAGGAAACTGTTACAACCCTTTTCATTCTCATCTTTAAAGAGGCACCCTATCATTCCATGTGTCAACGAACGAGAGTTTATACCGCAGCATTTCTGAACTGGTGTGGGGTGAAGGAAGAGAGGGTTTAGAAGTTAGCAGGTCAGACCTCCTCACTGTTTTGTTTACCAAGAAGGAAATTGAAGCTCAGAAGTTAAAAATGAACTGGTAACAATTTTATTAAAGACAAACAGAATATAAACAACAGTTGATTCCAAAAGGAAATAAAAAAAAAGCTAAAACAAAGCAAACTGATAATCATGGAAACAATAACTCTGCCATGCACAGAAGATCAGACCTCTTGTGACTAGACAGGCATGTGTGTTGGGGGTGGGGTACCTACAATTTTTGTTGCAGAAATTGGTTCCTCGGTTTTAGGAATGAGAAAACAGTTCCACGGAGGCTCATCAGTCTCTGCATTTTTGAATATACAAATAGAAAAGTTGTCTGCCTGGACAAGAATTAAAATATATCTGGAAACTTTTCCAGAAGCTCCATATAAAACAGAACAAATTTTGAGTACATGGGAAAATAACTGTATGTCTTTGTGATCATACACTAAGGGAGAGACGGAAGAGTAGCAGAATGGAGAGAGAGTCATCACACACAGTCACCGTTACCAGATCCCTGTATTTACCTGGTAGTATGTAGGCATTCTGCACTTCGTCCTCGTTTTGCTCTGGGCAGCATAAGAAGCTCACTGCACAGACAGGATGGGTGGTGAGTGAAACAGATAAATTATGGGCATTAAATGACATGGGATATGCCAATGGTATGCCGATGAAAACATGAAAAGGGAAGAAACCAGATTGTCTGCACTAGCATTCTTGCTTGAAAGATTAAACAAAAACATGACAATATTTTAAAAAATGTAAACAATAAAGTACACATTGCGGTCAAAGTCCTAGCTGTTGTTGATTTGTTCTCATATTTCGAAGTGATTTTACAGATTGTTAAAACAAAATGAAACCAAATCTTCCCCAAATAAGATGTAGAAATCTATTTCCAATTCTAAACACTTGGGTTACTTTAATCATCTTTGAAAAGCTTATAAACCTGACCTTTCTAATACGAATGGGAACCCTAATTTTTTTATTTCTTTTAAGCAACTTAAAGCATGATAGTTTTCTTGGCTTTTATAGCCACTGAAAACACTGCATCATGTATTATGTTTCTCCTTAGCAAACCAAAAGTATACTTCACTAAGACTGCTTTATTTTAAATAGATACTTTAACACATTCAAATTAATTCCACTCTAATGAAGGTCCTGGTTGAGAAGTCCTTCTTCTCCCCCCTCACCTAAATCCATGGAGGCCGCAGTGAATGTTGGCAAAGTGGTCCTCGTTCAGCTCGACTCAAGCTGAGCAGTGTGGAATCCTATTCCTCAGAGAAGTTTCTGTCTCTGTACCTAATTGAACTTCTCTCTCTGAAGGTCATTGCACCACGTCCCCCAGGAGGATGACAGGGAGGTAAGAAGCTCTACTCAAGTTTTGTGTCCTTAACTACATGGTAAAACAATCAGTTGTTTAGCACACCTCCCATTTCCCTACTCCTCCCTGAGAACTTCTCCACTTTAAAAAGCCAGAAGAGAATATTCAACACAGAAGGTATTACATAAAGTTAAATCATGTCCTGAGATGGGGTCAGGCATATTACTGTAGACATGTGGGTAGTCTGAAAACAGAGGCTGTGAGCATACAGAACAAGGGTTACCATGTAAATTTTTGGTAGTTGGGTCCGGGAAGTAGTTTTTCATAAAAAAAGAAATCCCTCTTAATATTTTCTACTTTATAGACACTTTATAGAAATATATTTTGTAAAAAGTAGGTATAGAAAAATATTACTGATGTTCTTACAAAAACTCTGCAACATTGTCTGCCTTTCAGATGACCTGTATCCAAAACTTTTAGTAACCAAATTCACAATTTTATAATTGTATAAATCACAATCCAAAGTCTACAATCCACAAAATATAAAATATTTGACAATTGCTTATGTAGCCTCACTTCCATAATTTAAGATAGTATCTAAGTCAACAATAAACTGTACATTTGAAACTATTTAAACATACATTTTGATTTTTTCTTAAATTGCTTATATTAGTTAGCCAAGTTGTTCCTTGAGAAAAATTCAGTTTTGAGTGATGAACTACTTTTACTTTCAAACGTACTATACCAAAATACCTATCGTGCATTCAAGCAGAGCACAAAATGTATAATGTTAAGATCGTCATGTAAACAATACCTGTCTTGTTCAGATAAATACTGACTGTCCACGTCTCTGGACCTGTGATCAACTGGGATTCTAGAGGCATCATGGTGTCTGGTTGGAGAACGTGACCTTCTTGTTGGATGAATTTCATCTAAACTCCTAAAATGATTACAAAAAATCATGTGCGTCAAAGTGGATCAACTTCCCAAAGCAACTGGGCAGATTAACAGGGAAGAACTGACAGTAACTGGCAAGCAACCGGCACAGCCAGAAAAGTGCTGGCATCACAACCAAATAACTATTTCATCAATGACTGTCTTTCTTCTTTATGAACATGCTGCCTGTGCTGCATTTCTCGAATCTCCTTTGCATCTCTATCAAAAAAGGACCACAGTTGTCATCTGCTTATTTGATTAAAATTTCAGAAATGTATTTCAGGGCAAGAAAAAATGGAGCACTACCTTACTTACGTGTTACACACTTTTCTAAGCATTGAAAATGCTTCAAAGGTACAATCCTCAATGTCTTAAAAATACCACTTAATCTCATTCTGTTGCCACTTCTCTCCACAAATCTGACTCATTATCATACAATTCCTCATAACAGGAGAGAAAACTAGCAAACAGAATCCAAAAACGGTGCTCAGGACATAAACTTCTTCCAGTCCTTGGGAAATATCTTGAAATTAATGAACAGCATGTTGTATAGAACAGAATGCTGAGATTAAAGAACAGAATGTTGTGTAGTGAAAGAGAGGTATTTTGCCTACAAATAATCCTGAAAAAAATAACTTGATCGCTCTAATCATTATTTCATTTTGTTTAGAAGCTTGCGATAGTTCACAGTGTTACAATAAAAAAGTGCTGGTGGAACACGAAGTCCGTTTCAAAGCCTACCTCTGTAATGGCACATTTGGTAAACGTGAGCGCGGCCTTCCCTGATCATCGCCGCGATGAGGAGACACCGAGCGTGAACGGTGATGAGTTGTTCTTTGCTGTTCTGGCACAGTTAACGTTGTAGATTTACCTTCTCTAGCACTAGGCCTATAACCTACTGGCAAGAGTACACACAAAAAATTAGTCAGTATTCTATAATGTAAATGCTAATGTGGAGATACCAAATTATATCTAAAGCAGCCACTGACCTACTAAGGTAAATGACATGCAATCAGTATTATTAGCTTTATCTTTGAAACTATGAAGTATACGTACATAGGGTGTAACATATACATGCAGAAGAACAGGTTACAGTTTGGCTTAAAGGTACCATGAAGATACTGAATATAATAAATATGATAGTTAATGTCTCAGACATTATGATGTGTTAGGATACTATTTTAATTTTAAAAATGAACGAGTTAATGATTTTTATAGCAACACAAATCAAGCAGTTGACAGTGAACGATAGTTAATATAAAAGTCAATGCTTAGAAGCTTGGTGTCTCTTTCAATGTTATTTGAATTTTTCTTCCCAAGGATAAATTATTTTAGTTGAACTTCACATGGTTTTGCTAATAAAAAATGAAAATGTTATAGTTCTGATTTTAATTAACAAAAAAGAATAGCAGGTCTTCACTATTACAAATTTTGATTGTGAATTTTGCAAATCATAAATATACTGCAAATTTCCAATTAAAATATTATATTGGTAGAGATGAATATAACAATAATGCAACAGAATTAACTCTCCCAATGAAACAATCATCAAATCTACCCAAGACTTCTGAAAGTTATCCCACAAATGTTAGTATTAACATAATTAAGTTAATACAGTTAACACAATCTCAATTAAAAGTAAATTCTAAAAGTTACTCCATTTATATTATCTTTGATTTGAAGATAAACCAATAATCTCAAATCCATATTAAGTTTAATTAAATTTTTTAACAAGGTCACTGTATTTTATTAAAGGTAAAATTAAAAAAGTCTCTGGGCAAAAGAAAAAATAATTGTATTTGCAACTACATAAAATGTCTATCAACCATGAAAACACTAAATTTAATTGGGCAGCTTTGAAATGTCCATTCATTTATTGCCAACTCCATTATTTTTAAAATATGCCATGAAGCACCATTATTCAAGACAGACTAACATTTTTCATCAAAATAAATTTTTTAGTTTTGATGAAAATAAAATTTTCATGTTTACTTTTTATGATTGTATGACCTTCTGACTAAGCTTAACTGAGAAGCAAGGTCTTTAAACATTTCATAAAGTGCAATTTGACAATATTGAGAGCAAAGAAGTTCAACCATTTTGTTGCTTTCTAAAAATACCCATATAATGACCAAATAATATAACCATAAATGTTACAATTTTATATACTTTAATTTTATAATGAAAATAATAGCACTTAAGCTATTATTTTGAGTCTCGTGTATAAATGTTTCTGTTGTTCAGATGTATAAATTGTAATATTAAGTAGAAAAGAGACCAATTAAGTTTATAGCTAGCAAAATAAGTTTGCTAGCTGTATATCTCAATGAGTATTCAAGGTATATGAATAGAATTTCCCAATGCGGTATAATTAATTACTATGAAATAACTAAAAAATTTTAGTTATCTTGTTGTTGTTAAAAGGATATAATTAATTTTTGTCTTGGGCTCTGTGTATTTACATTGAAATTAATGCCTTTTAAATCCTACCTTAATGTGTGTACATAGTTCTTCATCTGCTTTTTAAAAATTATTTGCTTTTGTTCATATTTAATTTATTGTTGACAACATGTACTCTACCTTCAGAAAAAGGTGGGAGAGGATTGCTTTTGTATGCATATTGCAGTGTTTCAACTGGCTCAAAGTTAGAAGTTAAAGGTTTTTTTTTTCCATTTTCTGAATTTGCATAATGCTCTGAAAAGCTGAGGTTGCCAGATGTCTTGCCTAAGATTTGGGTATTATGTATACAGTTATTTTTACTCTTCTTAAGCAGCTAAAATTACTTATTTTAAATAGCAATGAAGCTATGATAACTATAGTTAATAAGATGTAGTTTTGTAGGCATCAATTGCTCTTAGAACCTCAGATTCACTCAGTGGAGAAAGTTTATACATCAAACAAGAGCAGGAAACTCTATGAGTCAAAGAAAAGTCAAGGTAATAGAAACTTTAAGGGGCAGTTGCAATAGAACATTTAAATGAAGCTTCTGAACTTCTGTAGAACACATACAACCAGACACTTGCCTGAGTATATTAAACGTATGTAGAACTGCATCTACAACTAAATAGATATCTCTTCACATTAGATGCTAGGAAATGTATCGTAATTGACCTCTACAAGTATATGAGTATGTGTCAACACACTTGTTCATTAATGTATCACCTCACTTTATCTTATCTTCCTGCCCTTATTCTAGCAACACTTATCTTTCCTCTTTATTTAAAAGGTATGTATAACACTGAGTGGCTTGCTGTATCATATTTGCCACACATATATATCTTCAGAAGGTAAAATATATTCATTTTGGATCAATGCAGAGTACAGCTGAAAATGTAAATTGCATTATCTCCTTATCAATTTATAAAGAGACAGCCAAAGCATAAAATATTAATTATTGTTTATGTAATTTATTAGTTATATTCTATTCAAAGTTTGCCTCAGTGCATTTCAAATGCTAAATAAAAATGAATATTTGAAGTGATAATTTAGATATAGCTTTTATGTGATAAAAGAAATTATACAGTTTGCAAGTACTGCATGGTCTATTTCAGCATGGAAAGTAAATACACAGAATTCAGTGTTCTATAGAATATACAGAATTCAATATACAGAACTCAGTATACAGAATTAGGGTGTCCAAGCACTAATTCCACCTTTAGTGGGTCTCATGACCCCCATTTTGGCTGTTGTCCATGGGGCCTTTCAGGAAAAGAAGAAGGAACATACCATTTTAGTCCTTACTGAATTGGTCATTTATTAATTCATTCATTCACTATCCTGCCTAAGTATAAAATACATGAAATTCTAGGTGAATAAATATAAGGATCACCTATAAAAGTAAGTTCTATTTAGATGAGTTGGTAACAACATTAAAGCTGATTAACAGCCAAGATTCTTTCTTGTTAGGTTCCACAACTTTCCTACAGGAATCGTCTGATTCTTACTTAAATCTGTCCATGGATTCAATATACAAATACTTTTTTTCTTCAACTTAAAAAAATTTCATTAAATTGTGCTTTAAAATTTCTGTGGACGATGTGCCTAATTATTATGGTATTTTCTGAAATAAACACAAAGAAAAAAAACAAATAAGGGGGGGAATGGGACAACTGAAATAGCATAATCAATAAAATATATTTTTAAAAAAGAAGCAAAAAAACCCCAAATAGTAAATGTTAGCCACTATCATCCAAGCTCAGTTACAACTGTCGCCAGTGGTCTGCTATCCGAGAGTAACACCTAAGCACACAGGGTGCACACCACCAGGCTTACTGGTTTTAGAAATACTTTTTACTTTAATAAAGTGATAATACAATATATTCTCTAAATTATAGAAACAAATAAAATCTAATTTTAGAGAACTCTATAATGTTCTTAGTTTTAATGAGTTTTATGTATCTCTCCAAATTGTGAATTTAGTCACTAGTGTGAAATCTATTAATTTTGCCAAAACAACTGCCCTCAAATCAAGTGCATCCATATATATGAGAAATTACATAAATTAAGGAGACATATGTCAACACTGTCCTAAAGAAATGCCTTTAATAAAATCTTATGTATATATATGCCTCAAGACTTTCTGTTTAATTTCTTCTTATTTTGATTTTTTTTTACTTTGTATTAGCCAATCAAGGAAGTAGTACAGGAGTTGAGCAAGGAAAATAAGCCTGTACTGCTTGGTTTTACATATTTTCTGACAAAAGGGTCAGATGAGAAACAGATTTGAACTCCACAATGTCACAAAAAATACTACTAACTGATATGACAAAAAGATGTTAACTTAAAATGGATCTTGAATCTCTCTAAAGCATTTCTTTATTTTAAAACATATGAGGTCTGTCCAGAAAAAGTCCAGCCATCAATAATATAATGAGAACAGTTTGTGTGACATTAGTGTAACCTGGACGCCAAGGAGGGTGGACTGGAATGTGCATGCGTGAACTTCAAAGAATTCACTGTACTTGTCGTCAGTGGGGTGGTAGATGCTGTTGAGTGAGCACATGTACTGTCTGGCCATCGCATTAAAAATGACCGAGTAAGTAGAGAAACAAACCTGCAACAAATTTTGAGTTAAGCTTGAACATTCCTCTGTGGAAACTATTCAGATGATTCAGAAGGCCACAGCTATAGGCAGCTAGTGAATGGCAGCTTCATCATGACAATGTGTCCGCTTATACATTACATCTAGTACAGAGTATTTTGATGACACATCAAATCTCCCAGGTGACTCAGCCCCCTCACAGCCCAGATTTGGCATCTGCAACTTCTGGTTTTTCCCAAAACTAAAATCACCTTTGAAAGGGAAGAGATTTCAGAGTTTTGATGAGATTCAGGAAAATATGATGGGGCAGCTGATGGTGACTAGGAGAACTGTGTGAGGTCCCAAGGTGCCACCTTTGAAGGGGACTGAGGCATTATTGTTCTATGTGCAGTTTCTTGTTTCCTGTATCTTCTTCAATAAATACATGGCTGGATACCTTCTGGACAGACCTCATAAATACACACTCTAATTTTAATCAGTGGTAAACACATCACAAAAGCATTAGAAGTTAAGCCATGCCACATGCAGTTTTAAACCCTGCCATGCACCTTTCTCAGCATATTCCATGGAGGGCTACATTATTTTCAGAAACCAGGGAAGAATAATCATAGATATACAATATAAAACACAAGAGAACAGAATTTTATTTAATAAAATTAACCATATCCTTTCACAATGAAATTCATGTTTTCACTTATGCTCATAGCATTGTGAAATAATGATTTTAACCTAGCTAGCAACGCTTCAGGCAGAACCTAAGTTAAATAAGTGGGGATGTTAATGAATAGTTGCTAGTCAATTTTAAACTTCTGTGGTAATTTGGAACACAAGTCACCATGGAATAATATAATACTGATTTATCTGTGCTGTATCTCCAGTTCAGTATCCCAAAGAAGTCTGGAAATTGACAGTGAAAACAAGCATAGAAACACAGCGAAGCAGGGCCATGCTCTTCACCCACGCACCTGGAGGAACTACTCCAATACCATCATCAACCTCATAATCTGAGATGTCACTATCACTGATTCGCTGAGATCCTGTACAACGGTAAGGCAAACAGATACCTCTGTATCTCGTTGGGTTATGAAATGTAAATGACATGGTCACAGTTCTTAAAAATCCAGCTAATACAATTACTACTAAATACTTTTGAATAAGAATCATACAATGTAAATGATCAGCAGACTTTTAAAGGAATGTTTGTTCTCCAAGGATAGCATTTTCTAGGTATTTCCTCCATAAAATCACTGAAGACTTAACAGAAGGAAAGGGACTTCATAAAATAAGATTTTGACTTTTTGATTTCTTTTTTAATTCAAGCATTATGCTAAAAGCCTATGGCAAAGTGTGTACACTGCTTCCCACCCAGGTAAGTGCCCTCCCTCCTCTGCAGTTCAGGGAGGATGGGGCTGAGTGGAGAGGTTCAAAGAAACCTTTCTTGGCTGGAGCTCTATTGAGCTCATATTATTGAAAGGACATCAGGGCCCTTTATAAAATATGTATGTTTAGCCTTCAAAATTAGCCATTATATGCATTAAACATTAATACTGAGGAAATGCTTGGTCATAGAAGCACTAACATGAAATATTTAATTATATGAGGCAAAAAAAAAAACTTGGTTCTAGTTTACCAAAATGATGCTTCTAAGTTTCAGTTACTGAATTAGGATTTAGTCATAGCTCAAAAGTTAATGGGTATGAAAACAAAGTAGTTTGTCCCAATCACTAGATGAATAACAATAAACATAGTTTACTTTTTAAAATTTTTATGAAAAATAATACTAAAATAACTAAGAACCATAAAGTTATTAAGAAGTTGCTACTTACATGTAACAATCAATAATGACAAAAATTACTCTATCAGTTAATCAATTAACAACTGAATCAGTATTGGGCAGAGAATTATAATTCATAGTTTTTCAACTTCCAGCTCTGGTATTACTCTGTTATGCTGTATATACTACTTTCATTTGGGAAAATGTAGAAAATACTTTTGCCAGGTCTCTTTCTATAAATGAATACTTTTGCAATATTCTGATTTCTAACAAACATTTAAAAACAGTATCTTGAAGTTAATCTCTAAATAGATCATCACAATATAATTATCTCTGGTAACTAAAAAGACCTTGAACCTACTTTGTAGTTTTTTGCTGGAGCTTTCTCCATGAATGTGTCGCCTTGGCATGAAAGGTGATGGCTGAGGCAGAGGTAGTGAAGATTCATCATGTGTCTGAAGTTTGTACCAATGTGGTTCATCATCTAAAAGGGCCGTCTCCAATTCTATGAGAATCTGAAAGGGCAGTTCTCGAATTAAATGAAGTGCATTTGCCAAAACATAATATAAAAGGTGATCATAATTAATGCACATCACAAATCTTCAATAAGCAGTAGACTTGAATCTTTATAATATACATCACCTCTCCAAGAAATTCACTCTCTTCTTCTTGTACTCTGGGTTGGTCCCACACCGTTATTTCTAACATTCGTTCTCTAAAATCTCTACGATGTACATGCGAATAGACAAAAGTTTGATTCCATTTTGGTTCTAGTACTTTCTTTACTGTTTTGGTCCTCCTTTTACTTTTATCACTGAAAAATAAGTATGCTGTGTAAATGAAAGAGCAAAAACAAGTATATGCTGCCATCTACTGTAGTTACATGTAATATTGCTATTGGGGTTTTTACTATTTATTTATTTTATTGTTGATAAGTCACAGTTGTCCCACCCCTTCCCCTGCCCTTCCCCCACCCAACAGTCAGTCCCCACCCCAAGGTCTGTGCCCATCATTCCTCTATTCATGTTCTTTGACTTGCCCCTTCCCATTATTTCCCCTATTATCCCTCTCCTGTCCTGATCACTACCTTTAATTCATATCTTTTAACATAAAAGTCTAAAAAGACTGTAGAGTTTAATACTACTTTAGTTTTAATTACAATGTAAACAGCAGTTATGATTATAGGTAAACATATACAAAGGTGTACTCTAAACGATGTGTAGCTATCAAAGACTAATAGATATATAACTGAGTCAATGAAAATTTTGAAACTTAGCAGATTATTTAAAAAATATAAGGTTTGAGGGCATGTTTTTCAGGGATAATGAATAGGTTATTCTCTCAAGAGAATTACCTATTAAACTTTAAAACTATCGCAAGTGTATACTTATATTCACACTCATCAAAATGTATAAATGTGTGTACTTTTTGGCATAACAATTTTACCTCAATACATCTTTACAAAATAAGTTAAACTGCATTCCAGAAAGGAACGTCTGCCTTTTCTATTAGTAAAGATTTTTGCATAGTTTTCTACAATTATTCACTACCTTCTATCTGGAAGAAAATACATTTTTACATAGGGATTCCGGGGGCGCCCGTCTACTCTAGAAGGCAGGTCTGCTGCTTGCAGGACGTTTACAATCAGCTGGTGCCCCACTTTATCGTACCACAGTTTCACCTGGGAGCGAGGAAGAGAGGAATTATTTGTAAAGATCATAAGGTATAATCTTACAAAAAATACTGAAGTTATTTTTGAATTGTTAAATTTCAATACAATTTATTGACATTATTTCTGAAAAGAATACCAGTTTGAAAGCAAAACTACTTAGAACTTGACTTCCATCTTATGCATTATACAGAAATTACAACTGGTAGAACTGCAATGTTATACTTTCTTAAACCAGTCACATTATGAAAATAAAATTAAGATAAAAATTTTATAAAACAGTAAGGGAAGGAAGGAGCATCGAAATTTATCCTTGCCTTTAAGTGCTAAATGCAAATGTTTGGTGATTATAAGTGTTTGATGACTACACTTTGCATAAATGCACTTTACAGTATCATAGATAGATTAAATGAGACTTGAGGTTAGGAACAATATATACAGGTGAGTTGGAGAAAATCAGGAAACATGTGTGCTTGTTTCCTGTTTTACACCAGGTACTGCTGTTTACTGGTTTTTTTTGTCCTATGATTTTCATAATTAATCTATTAAAGATTAATTTTCATGAAAGAAAGGGAAAGGAACAAAGGAACATGCAATACGCAAATGATGCCTTTGAACTAAGCAAAGACCAAGTGATGGTATTTTTGCTAAGATTTCATGAAAGTCTGAATAGAGAAAAATGGGAAAATGATACACGGAGTCTATTGTTAGACTCCTAAGAACCAGAACTGCCCCAGCCAATAATAGTATTCGTACTGGCTGTGGACAATTTAACTTTGATTTTGCTTTAAAAATTTAGAAGTCAGTTCTGGTTTTATGATTAAATAAGAACTATGAGCCTAAGTTGTTTAGTGGGTATATACTAAAACATATTTAAGACTGATGATAAGCAGATAAGCTAATTTACCGTGGGACTGGTTTCTGAGAGTAAGGGTAAGATTAAGGATTCAAACCTGGATCTGTAGAAATCTGTATCTCTGTTCCCAATTAATGTCAGAGATGTGTTTTTCATAAAACCAAGATGGATTTTTCCCTCTTAAATAATATATAGAGTGTACGCATAATTCATACACACAACAAAAATAAAAAGATGGCAGGGTAGCTAAAACAAACTCAAAAGACTCTACAAAGATATTCAATCTACTAAAAACAGAAGTTAAAACCAAGAAAGGTTTTTAAAAATAACAGCAAAACAGACTATAGAAATCCACATTTTAATAATGAAGCTAAAGATCAACCAGTATGTATAGAATAATTTAAAGCAAGATTTTCTTTATACAAATGTCCAGAATTCCACCATAATCTAGAGATATGAGTTTTCATGTTAGTCACAGTTTCTTCATCTCAGATTTTCACAGATCATAGACAAAGCAATGGTGAGGGGAGCTACAGCTTTTTCAGAGTAACAGCAGCATGAAAAGATTTACCAAATGTCTTAAGAAGTCATATAATATTTTAAATTTAAATGTTTCAGTCTCTAGGCTCACAAGGTTGTTCAGTAAATAGAACACAACTTTTTACGTTCATTATGTCTAACCAAACACCTCAGAAACTTTTGTTTAACGGACAAAATATAATGGATATTTTATTTACTTACTTATCACTTAATGTTCAGAACATCTGGCAAATTATAAGCACTCAATAAATATGTGAACAAAGGAATAATCTAATAATGCATCAAATATTGATGTGCTTGTAGATTATGGTGTTAAGTGGCTATGAATATCTCATGAGCTTCAAAGAAAGCCATACATTTTTTAAGACAGACTCAGAACAGAGAGCAAATACTAATGGTCTTCAACATGTACAAAAAATCCGTACAGAAAGTTGTCCTGGTAAGACTTGCGGGGCATCTTTTAGAGCTCCAGGACTTGTCGGAGAAATAACAGAAATGGAAGGCCTTTCCATCTTCTGAGATTCAAAAGAACTTGAACCTAAAATGAGAAAAAAAATTACGTAATTTTCAGTAACATATACGCAACATGTATGGGGAATAAAGACGTTTTTAGAAAATGCTAAATGCACATTATTTGTATAAAACCATAATTAAATATCAACAATAACAGCAGAGTCTACTTTCAATTGGATAGTTGTAGAAAGTTATCATGTTCTTATATGATTAATTGCCTATTTTATGAGATAATCAGATATTTTATTTATTTGCTTCAGTTTTTAAGTACTGATTTTCTTCAGTACTTATTGGGAGGCAATTGTTGTTCAGTTTAGGCTCTTGCATAACATCACATATCGATCAAAATCTTCACACCTTTAAGGATAAGAAAGATGGTACCAGTTATGTCGATTATATTGGCTAAAGGATCATTTGTTATGAACTATCCTGAAATTAAAATGAATGCATGTATAATATAACTTATGAGTAAATGTAAGCCTGGAATTCATCATTGTTTTAAACTAAGATTTACCATATATCTCAGTTTAGCTCTTACAAATGAATCTCTTGAAAGTCTGAGAATGCTTTAACCATTCACAAGTGATTTGCTTCACCTTCCTGTGAAGGAGGCTGGCTCTCTGTTCAGCCACACAGCCACTCAGTGAGGCCCTTTCCCCTCTTTTTCACATAAAAATTCTCACTTCCCAAGTCACTGTTTGAGTATACCCTGACACAACCAGCAGTACAGGGTGTCTGTTTAATGCTGTTGCTCCAGAAGTATAACCTTGAACCCACAGCCATTCAGAACTTAGCTTTACTGGTAAAACACTAATTGCAGAGCACTGCCTGAGGATATGCTCTCCAGACATTATTTTTCTATATATGTAAATTAAGTCTACATTAAGCCATATAGCATCATTCTGTGCCATCCAAAGACTTTTAAGTATGAGAAACTGCTATAAAAGCTTTGTTAACTACTATGTCTCTTTTATCAAGTATCCATCTGTAAGATATTTTGTTCTTGGGTCTCAGTACAAGAAAACTGTTGCTTTTAATAATCAGTTTGTTTTTAATAGAGCAGTTAATTCTTAATTAGTACCAACACTATAAATTATGTAATCAGTCCCATTTCCATCTGTATACTGGTTATCAGGAAGCTCAAAACCAAACCTGGGTCCATCTCTAGCAGGTACGCACAACATGATGGTATGCATTTGATACACTAACCCCTGGGTGCTTGTTTATCACACTCATGTTTTCTGCCTCCTTATAACCACCACCTGTTGTTTTCCCCTTACACCACCATGTATTTCTAATTTCTACAAACCGGGTTATACAATAACACTTGGTGATCAAACACAAGTATTATTAATTTAATACCACTCTACAGCAAAGTAAATATTTGGGTCACTTCCACATTTGCATTGAAAACTTCATTACTTGTCAATAATTTATTGCATATATTGCCATCTTCTCTCATCTGGAGTCTCTCGAATGCCCATGTAGATATTTCAACCTCTGGACTCACTGCCCCATGACCCAGTCATACCCACTGAACTTTACCTCTACTCCACCCACTCACTTCCATGGTCACACCTAACACTGCTGTGGTGCAGAAAATTATGTGTTAATGGGCCTGTTTCCTTCACCGGACTGCTAATGAGACTAACTATCAAACTGAACAACCCAATATCACACTAAATTTCAATGTACAGCAAATGGAACTGTTACTGGTATAACAGCTGAGATCTGTGAGTATCCTGACTCATGATTCAGAAGGGTACTACTGCCAGCAAAGATTTTTGTATAGACACACCGACACACGAAGTACAAAAAGAAAACAGAGTGAAATTTCTTTGGGTTTCCAATGAGTGTCATAGTTGCCAACTTCCAATATCATTGCAGATGACCCTGCTATAGGAATACCAATTCACCTATATAAAATAACTAGAGAAAATAATCAATATTCATCAATTCCAATCAATACATGTCACTACAACAAGGAAATCTTATACTCACTGGACTCCAGAGGAGGATGAGAGCTCTCAGGAATCCGTGGAATGTCACTGAAAGAAACAGTGTCCCGTGAAAATCCCATTAGCTAAACGACCCTGCCTGAGGCCACCGAAGCCACATTTCACCTCGGTGGTGTGAAAAATCCTTTGGGGGCTTTGCAGGTGTGGAAATGGACAGGAGTTACTATTAAGGCAATTACTAATGTACATGAATGTCAAACACCACACAAAAATAAAAACTGCAGTAAAAATAACTTTTTATATATTTAATAGCAAAACACTTTAACATGACAACAATTAAACTAATATTGTGGCTAAATTTACCACAATATTTTTACTACCAAAACAGCAAGTTTTGGAAATAAAAAATGTTAAAGGTAGTATTTTACTTTAATTCTAGAAAATCAAAATGACACATTTTCAAATCAGTAATATGCTTTACAAACACATCTGAAAGAGTTTACTGAATGAAAGGGATGAAAACATCTCTCATTAATAAAATAATATGATGAATATCATGGGCAAAGTTAATAAAATGAAAAGGATGAATTGCTTTAAAATTATAAATGATACAAGCTTGCAACAAAAAGCCAAAATACTTTATATATGTGAATATATAATTCATATACACATATATAACCCTATATAGAGATTCATATCTCTATACTTAAGTTAGCTAAATCGATGGCCATTTAGATATGATTAGAGAGTGACTTGTGAGAACACCCATTCCTGTCACACTCACAAATTACTCTGAGTAAATATTTAATATAACCTCCGCTTAATGCATTATCCACTGTGACCTTAGGACTCCTGGACCAGCTCAGGTTGAGAACTGTGCTGCACAGAACTACTTCACCTCTAGTACTCCCAAGATATTTTATTATCAGTGCAAGGACCTGATTAACAATATGCAAGTATTAACAGGACACATTAAAGCAGACTGGAGTAAGCTAATACCAACAGAATTATTAGAATATTACTTTAGAATTTCTAACCACTTACCTTATCTAACATCAGTTTGATTTTCTTTGCATTTTTGGGGGGTAGAAACAAAAACAGTTTCCCACATTTGATTATTTTCCTGCCTCTTATTTCACATTCTTTTATTTTTGTGCAAACTAATTCTCATAACCACCTACAATTTATACTTCTTACAACTGGCAATATGCCTTGCATTATGTATTTTATAAATATATTTTATATCTTTATAACTAATAATTTGTCTAAAACATTTTACATGGTCATTAAAAAACTAATTTGCAATACCTAAGATACAAAACCCAACAATTTATCTTCTGCTATTTTCATTGGAACTTTATTAGACAAATAAAAGTAAACATTTAAAATCTAGAAAAAAAATGTTAAATAGTATAACTTCTTTGAAAATCAGCCTCAAAGTCAATTGTGAAAGTTAGAATATAGAACCCTTAAACCAGGTACAAAGTTTGGATTTTACGTGTTTATGAAAAAAAGAACTGTGAAAAAGGTGTAAAACTTTTTAATATAACTTTGAATCAAAATTTATTTAATGTTAATTGCTTCAGTAATATTTTCAGGCTTCAATTTCCACCTGACATTTACACAAATCTTCTTAATTAGTTCTACACACAACTGAGGTAGCAGAATAGTTCTAATAACAATTATAAGCATAAAGTTTAAGAACATTGTATTTGGAATGTTGGCAAAAAATGCTAATATTTCAAGATGAAATATTTCAAGGTGTCATTTAGACCATAGGTTTTTGTTTTCTTTTTAATTTTTTTAAAATTCGCCCTGGCTGGCGTAGCTCAGTGGATTGAGCGTGGGCCTGCGAACCAGAGTATCGCGGTTCGATTCCCAGTCAGGGCATATGCCTGGGTTGCAGGCCAGTTCCCGGCAGGGGATGCATGAGAGGCAACCACACATTGATGTTTCTCTCCCACTCTTTCTCCTTCCCTTCCCCTCTCTCGAAAAATAAATAAAGAAAATATTTAAAATTTTATTTATTTATTTATTTTTAGAGAGAGGGGAAGGGAAAGAGGAGGAGAGGGAGTAAAACATCAATGTGTGCCTGCCTCTCATGCCCCCTACTGGGAACCTGGCCTGCAATCCAGGCATGTGCCCTGACTGGGAATCAAACCAGTGACACTTTGGTTCACATGTCTATGTTCAATCCACTGAGCTACACCAGACAGGGCTTATTTTCTTTTTTTAATTAGCATTTTACATCTCTCTTTTTTAAACCTTATTTTCAGTTACATTAGACATGCAATATTATATTAGTTTCTGGTATACAACATAGTGATTAAACATTTATATACCTTGGGAAGTGATCAACCTGGTAGGTCTAGCACTCATGACACCACATAGTTATCACAATATTATTGACTATATTCCCTACTTTACATCCCTATGACTATTTTTATGTCTGGCAATCTGTGTTTCTTAATTCCTTTCACCTTCTTCATCCATCCCTCCAATTTCCCTCCCAGCTAGCAACTATTAATTTGTTCTCTGTATCAGTTTATTTTTTTTTGTTTATTTTGTTCTTTAGATTCCACATGTAAGTGAAATCACACGGTATTTGTCTTTCTCTGTCTGACGTATTTTACTTAGGATAATACCCTCTAGGTCCATCCATGTGGTCACGAATGGTAAGATTTCTTTCTTTTTAATGGCTGAGTGAAACTCCACTGTACACATATACCACGTCTCCTTTGTTGATTGTCTGTAGAAGGATGCCCGGGCTGCTTCCATATCTTGGCTATTGTAAATATACTGCAGTGAACTCAGAGGTGCATATATCTTTTCAAAATAGTGTTTTGAATTTCTTCAGTGAAATGCTCTGAAGTAGAATTTCTGGGTCATAAGGCTGTTGTATTTTTAATTTTTAAGGAACCTCCACACTGTTTTCCATAGTGGATCTACCATATCGATCAATGTGCATGTAAGTTATACTTGAAATCGTTCTAGGAATCACTATGCCACAAAACTGTGAATATTTCCTTTCCACTTTAAATTATAGAACTACATTAAACATAGTTATTAAATATAGCTATAACTATTCTTCTGGGGTTCTAATAATTTCTCCAATAACTAGAAAATTGATACCAGATATAATTTCATTTACATATTACCTTTGTATCCCATATTCTTTTAAATTTCATAATCCATGACATCTTAGGGTTGGGCTAGGTAGATTATTACTTTTGAAATTATTTTCATACAAAAGTAAAAACAGTAAAAATGTTATTCCAGTCCACTTTAATTGCCTGTTAGTTTTTTAAAGTCACTAAGAATCAATGATATGGTAGTTGATTAGTCTGAAAGCACTATATATTTGAAAGTATTTGGCAATGTGCACAATGCTTGATTTAAACTTTTAATTTTTGTACTTTGATTCATTTTCCAATTACTTACCTCTTTTCCAGCCTTATATTTACCTCAGCACTAGAACACATATTACGTAAAACTAGCATAAATTATAGTGGTGCTATTTTTTAAAACTCTGCATGGAAATGCACAATACTTTTGCAAGTGTTTACTCTTAATAATCACCACTTAAAATTGGTTATGAGCTTGCCTTTATTTTAGAGTTTTATATATTAATATTAGTTTTTGAATCTTTTCAATCTTTTGAGAATTAGAATAATTGTATTTCCTTGTGTGTTTTGCATTGACATAATCATAAGGACAACAAGAATTTAAGGTCAGTACTTGTTCAACACAAAAAATCTTTAATTAATGGTTCTGTAATAGTTTAGAGAATGGGAAAAAAGTCTAAAATATATTCCAACATTACACTAATTATAATGAGATAAATATGCCTTCCAAAAATTTAGACTGGCAAAATGAATATTCTGGACTTTGTGGGTTTGTCAGGAAAAGCTAACAATATGGCAAATTCTACACACAGATATAGAAAATAAGCTTTGGCTGTAGATAATTAAATTATGCCAAAAGTAGTAATTTTAAAAATATATTAATTGTTATGACCAATTAAAATATTAAAAATTTTACACTTGCTTGGTTTTTAAATAAATGTTGGAACTACCTATGGGTAAAATGTAGAAAAAAAATTCTATCCTCAGAATAGGAAGTTCACATAGACATATGTAATCATTATTATTTTAAATATCACAAGAAGATGAGTTTGTTAGTGACTTCCTTTAAGGAAATATTACTCATTAAGTAAGAATTACTAAAAATAAATCATTCTACCATTAAAAATTTTTACTTTATATTTTATTTCTAAAAATGCATATCAATACTTTTGATATTACAATTGTTAAATTGTGGAGCTTCTAAAATGTAGTGATAAAAACTGTGTATTCAGGTTTTAATAATTAAGAAATTTTAAAAATTTAAGATGTATGCCCATCATTGAAGAAAAACTCTCTATGTTCACATGTACTGTATGCATGTATAAAGTTCTTTTTAAAACCCTGCTAATACATGTAATTTACTAAACTTAAGAAGTAAGTTTTTTTAGCCTTACCCAATAGGCCTTGAAACAATAATTTCAACTTGAGGTTCTGATTTTGATTCTAAAATAATGTTGTAAACTTCTTCATTTGTAGCTCCCGGCAGGGGTTTACCATTCCATTCTAGAACTTCATCCCCTTGAATTTAAAAAAAAGGGTATTTTTTTACCTTATATATTCTGTGTATTTTTCTTATCTTTTTTCTTTTTTACAAAGAAATGCAAAACATATACAAATAGTTTAATTGTCTAGGTTCTGCTCTAAAAAGAATATTGATTGCCATATCATGTCAGCTAAATGGTTCTTCTAAACACTTCTTTTCTTTCCTTTTTTTCTTTTTCTTTTCCCCAATGAATCCTACTTATCACTGAAAACAGTACAATACAAAACTCCCTTTATCTTTTGAAATATACCAGAAATAACACAAAAATAATCTCATGCTATGGAATGGAATTAGCACAGCTTATTTGGAAACATTAAAAAATAATAATTAGCAGCATGCCCTCCATATAATAAATGTAGGTGTCTCTAAATGTGAAAGATTCTTTTTAAGCTCTGCATAAATCCTGCTTTATTTTTGGTAGAAATTGCAATTAACATTTATTAGCATGAATTTTCCAATTATAAGTCATGCTTCATTGTCTTCACCAGATGCACAACAGAATAAAAATGCATGAAAGGACTTGAATTCATACCCACAGGGTAACGCAGGTAGCTATGGCAAAGTTACAAAGCAAGCAGATGCAAAACTGTTGCATGACAGTTAACCCACTTCCAGATGTTCATAACACACACATTCTATAGATAATGTATACTGTGAACATTAAGAAGTTAGAAAATAATTTAAAATAATAAAAAATTGATCCTCATTAGTTTGTTAAATATTCTAAGATCAGTCAAGGAGAGCACATGATATCATGTTACAATACATGGGCTAACAACTTGTTATTTTTAACTAGAATTTTCACCATAGATCATTTGAGAAATACTATTGATTTTCATAAATATTTAGTGTAGTTTTAGGCTCCAGGTGGTTCTCTGTCCAGTACCTTTCAATACACAATGGCAGGCTCATCCAAACAACCCCAGTCTCAGTACGTTGAGACCGCTTACTTTGTTGTTTGCAGTGTCTATAACATTTTAGTAGCTAAGCAAATATTTTTTGAACTAATGAGACAATCTCATCCTAACCATAAACATGGAATCTTTTAGCTTTTGGCTACCTTCTTTAAAATAGAAAATTGTGTTTTGATAGGACTGTTTTAAAGTAATTTTTTCACCCAAATGTTTGCTTACTTAAAATTAAAAATAAATATATGCAAAGCACATGATAGTGCTTTGGTTTGGTAAAAGAATATGGTTATTACCAACAGTTGAATGACTTCTAAAAGTGTGACCTAAGATGTTTCCTGGCCATGTCTATCAAGTAGGCAATAAATATACTTCATTATAAAAAGAGAAATAAAATAATTATAAATTTAAAATATATTAGGAGACTTCTAAATTTTTTTGCCTAAAACAAATAAAATTTACATCATGTGAATGTATATATGCATATGTGTATATGTGTATGAAAAATGCTTTCTGAAATGATACTTACCCTGATATTTTCTATTATGTTTATTTTACTTTTTTAAAATGATGAATGCAAACACTGAATTAACTACCCAGTAATGCACTGCAATCAACATTGTGCAAAAACACTGCATTATAAAATTCTCTTCTTTATAGACAGCAACCTGAAAGCAACTTTTAATATCAAATTAACTTAATACATGTATTTATGCATTTATAAATCATTACATCCTAAACCAGAAGGTAGTCTCTTTAACAATATTTATTTATATATGAATATTCTCTTTAGGCAGGGATGTAGAATATGATGATACAAAGATAAAAAAGAGACTTTACCATTCCTTAAATTTGGTGTGGGACTGATATAGAAATGAATACTTCTAATAAAATGATAGGAGTTCATCTGAGGGACAAAAGTAGAACCAGGTAGTGCCAAGGAAATAGTAAGTAGTTATTGCTACAGATGAGATATCAGGACACACTTCAGAATTAAGGCAACTTTGGATAAGTTTTAAAGGATGGAGAGGATTTCAACACGCAGAGCACAAGAGTAGAAAAGAAAACAGGTAGACTAGAGGCGCTGACCAGGTCTTCGAGGCAGAAAGAGATTTCCAGGGACCTACAGATAGACTGCCATGGCTGGAGGCTAAAGTGAATGGTAATGGAAGTGGCTGGAATTGTTAGTAGAGAGCAAAGCGACAGAGCTTTGACCTGAGCAGATCATAGGTGGGAGAACCCAAGGAGTCTTAACAAGAACAGTGTGTGTCCATTCTGGGTTTGGATGATTCTATCAAGTAACAGTACAGTGCACGGACTTACGAGGGGTGTCTGCAGTGGAGAGAACTATGTCCAGATTAAAGCAAGATTACAAATGCTGAACAAAAGTCATACTAATAAAAACCACAGCACTGTCATTTTCTAGACAAATAATATTTATATACAGACAGAAGAAAAGTAGTTCTTAAATTATAGCGTAAATCCAACAGAATATATAACCTAATTTATAAAAATATATTTTTCAAATGCATCTATCACTTAAAGTGAGTTTTATAGTTATTAAAGTTGAGCTTTTAACATTTTAGATTTAGTTTCTCAGGCTCTGGGCACATAAGGGTATTAAAAAATGAAAAATTTAAAAAACTGTCACTGACTTTCTTAAGTAATCTAATAAAACACAAAGGCAAAATCAAAAGCTATTATGTTTATTATCTGATCTGAAAATTCAGATTTGTGCAATGTTATCTTACACTGGAATAGTCAACAAGAAATTCTTATACTTTTTAAGGCTTATTTTTGAGCCATCAAATAAGCAAAGCCTCAGTTTACTGACAGTCACTCCTGACTGAGGTAGTTATGGAATGATAACTAGTCTGTGATAAGAAGTGATAGTGTGCTGTACCTCTGCGCACCTTCAAAGCTACGCATGTAGCAGATAAAATAAATAACCCCAATGTGAACTTTCTCTCTGCACAACATCTGCACAGCATGTTCCTATCAAAGAAAAAACCTAAATGATGTTGAACTGACATCCTGGTAATCAATTACATCAGAAATGTCTTTAACAGTCATAGAGTATTTTTCTAAAGGTCGCAACAATTAAAATCTTAAGGTATAAAAACTAAAAACAGCCTAGAAATGTTCTTTTATTCATTTGTAGCTTCCATCTGGGGTTAACTATGCTATTCTAGAATTTCATCCCCTTTAATTAAAAAAAAGGCATTTTTTCACCCTATATATTCTGTTTATTTTTTTTTACCTTTTCTCATTTTTAAAAATAAATGCAAAACAGATGCAAATAGTTTAACTGCCTACACACTTCCCTCAAAAAAATTTATTGCCATAATAAATTATGTTTTTCTTTTGTGTCATGTTACAGAGCAACCTGTTTCCAAATACCAAGAAATAGGTCATGAATATAATATATGGCATATTTAAACTGACAAGTATTTTATTACATAATCTGTAAAAGAGATGTGCTTGGGATTATATTTTATTAAAAACATTGCTACTGAATAAGTGTTTTGGGACCACTATGAAATACTGCAATAATTATTACTATAGCGGAAATATAAACTAAGAAATAGTGATTTTTTTTTCATAAGACTAACTTATCTATATTTTTGTAGCAACATTATGAAGACACCTATAAAAATTAGTAATCCTTCAGCATTTTCATTTACTTATTTTTACATGAATAAAAAGGATTCCTATACTTACTCTCTCCAAACTGTTAGTGATGTATAGTTACCTATTATAATAAGCATCAACATCAAGAAAAAAACTTTTTTCATGCATTAAAATTAGTTACTTACTTAACTGACTTATATATAACTTACCCATAATTGAAAACCACCAACTCATGCACAGAGTACACATCGTTCAAATGTTACAAAAGAACTTTACCTGCTCTTAAATGTCCAACTACATCTGCAAGGCTACCCTTCTTTACTTTGGTGATGAAGGCACCAAGGCGTCCTAAGTCAGTCATTTTTCCTCCAACAACCTGGATAATCATAAATTTATAAGTGCCCAAGACTGAAACATAAGTTCACTGGTTTAAGGAATTAATCACAGTCTTTTAAGATGCATTTAGAACTGAATGTGGGGACGTTAATGAAGTGAAATACATTTTTGATGAAAGGAGCTGGCAGTATAGTTTTGAAAAGAAAATGACATCTGATATTTAAGATGACCTTGTACCCTAAGGAAGCTTATGGACTGATTACTAATACCGACCTAACAATACCAAGACACCATGAATAATGCATAACCTTAGAAGACAAATGCTGGATCTTCCTTACTTACCATCAAACAGTAAGTGTTTGACACCAGTTACATTAGGGTTCATTTTCTTTTATCCTCTCAATTCATGGCCACCATTTGAATTTGTATTTCTAAATGCAAATAATGCCCCACTGTCACATTAGATCTTGATCTCTTGTATGTTTTTAGTGGAATGTAGGTCTAAGACATAAAGACTAGGAATTCAAACCAGCAACAGGCCACTCTGGGGAAGCAATGTACCGTGGTCAAAGAGTAACAGCCTAAGTTCATCTCTGCCACGGACCATCTGAATGAGCTCCTCATCTGACACATACATGTGCTCCAATCTAACTCTCAAAGTCCGAGTTATATTACTGACTATTTAACACTCTCACCTGGCTTTTCCACAATAACTAAAATTGAAAACATCTAAAAGTTTCTAAGTTTAACTTCTTCCAAAGCAGGGGTTACACATGTATAATTATAGAGTCAGAGGAATATGCTCAAAGGTTGAGACTGATTCACAATCTTAGGGATGTACCCACTAGTGCAGGTCATCAGAATTATCACACAGCAAGAGAAATTAATGGCAATAATAAACAACTTGATGCTATTAAGTACATTAACTTAATAATTTAGTAGATTTATAGTCAATGGTTTGAAAGGGCTTAAACTATCACACAAATGTAATACCATCTCTTGGTAGGTAATTTCAAATCCACATCTTTGAATGTTTCTCTACACTTGAAAAGCAAATAAAAGCATGTGATTTAACACATATGCATACACAATAAAACAAAAAATATATTTTCCTGCAATAAAATACAATCTCTTATAATTTATTATTTTTATTATATCTGTTAAGTCAATTAATATTTTTAAAAGGTACATTTTACTCTTTGGGTATTACCACAAACTCTGCTGCACTTAAAAATACCTTTAATGATGCTTCATGTTGCTTGTTAAGATATAATAACATTATCTATCATTACTATCATTCATTAAAACCTTTTTGATTAAAAAATCATCCCTGAACTTTATATTCAGAGAAATATTCTTTAGTTTTCCTATATCTGATTACAGTTTCCTAACATAATAGTATGTCATATGAATAAAGTATTTTAAAACATTAACCTAGATAAAATATTAAATCTGCCTCGGGTGGAGAATATGTAAAAATCATTGTCAGGAACTTTGTTGAATCCGGTCCGTACTGTAATCCGCCCTTGCAGAAACAATTGAAAACAGCATACTCACTTTGAGACCTAGCAGTGCACCTGACTCTTTGGGCATGGTTGTTCTCTTGTTAAGGATAACGCGTCCAATTAACCGGTCCCCCTCTTTAGACGGCTGCCACGTCACAGGATGCTATTAAAATACGAATAAAGTTGAAGAAAAGTTGTTTCTTTCCTCTGGGCACATAATTATAGGTTGTCACATGATGCGATTTCCTCAGTTAAAAGACATTGTAGAGGGAATTCTTGATTCTGATGGGCTCTATACTTAGATTATAACAATTTTCATTTGCAGCTGTATTTTATTTACAGTAGAAACTAAAGCTAAAAAGTTCTAAAAGTAGTCAGCAACTAAGTACATCTCTAAAAATAGTTCTGAAATATAATTAATTGAAATTTTAAAATATATCTGCTTATATAAAAAACCAATTCTGTATTTTGAGTTGTTAATGTTGATATCACTAACCAAACAATATCTAATTTCTATTTAGCCATTATTTAATAATGGCTTTTTATTTAAAATTTGTTATAATTATTCAGTTAACTCTTTTATTCAAAACTGTTCTGCCTTAAATGAAATCAGTATTTGCTCTCATATTATAATGAAGCAGAATAAGATGACTGTGTAACACATATCAGAGAAAGGACACACATGAACCCTAAATTCCAAAATCTCTCTTTCCAGAAAGCTTACCGAACTAATTGGTGACGTTTCCCGGCTATGCCACGTGGCAGGATCCAACCAGTAATAATCCAAATCACCTGCACAACAGAAAAAAAATCAAAAGTATAATTAATGTTTTAAAGTAGAGAATGCTTTAATCATTGCAGGTGTGACTTCTTCAATCTATAAAGGATTCTGAATCTCATAGTCTTGAGCGTGCACGCACCAGAATGGCACACACCTGCACTGCCAAGGCTACAATCTGAATTCTTGGAGTGGATGAATGTTACAAATGTGCTTCACACTATGGGTGAGCTCCCTCCGACTGCCACCATCAGGCCAGAAACACACACAGAAAGTGTGACTACCCTGCCGGGCATGGCCTGCCATCTTCATGATATGGCTAACGTGTTATTCACTAAACTGAGGTAAGTATTAAAGTTTAGTGTCTCCCCTTCTACTCTTCTGAACGATATCATATCTTTCAAAATTATTCCCTGGCCTCTATCCTCTTCTCTCCTTACCTGAAAAACAGGACAAATACTTTCAGGACACAGTAATGAGTAATTAAATATCACAAACAGCTTTTAGCAAAAGGGTACATACAAATGACAGAGTATTCAATTTTTACTAAAGCCATAAAAAAGACTCTTAAAATGTTAAGTTTGTAAACATGAACTTATGAACCTTTACTTTTCATTTTTTGGCTTAAAAACATAACACTAAAGAAAACACCTGAGAAAAAATAAAAAATGGAAAGCATTGCCATTATTTGCAGAGAAAGAAAGGACAGAGGGGGTAACCCCTATGAGAAAAATGACCTTTTGCATTTTAAATATCAAATCAAGTCAATTAAAATTTTTCTCCCTGTGGATTTTGAGAGAAAAATACTGAGAGAGTGAGTAAAGCATGCCAGCCAGCAAGGAGCTGTCTAGATGACTCCTGGGGAAATGCGTTTGGCTGACATCTGGGAAAACTTCTTGTGAAGTGACAAGCGTGGCAGACATAGGCACTATAAGAGAAAAGTAACGGAAAATAAATGTTTCAAGTATGCAGGCACGAAAATCCATACACTTCTATTTCTTAGTGGCCAGTCCCTTTCTCTTTATATAATATATTTATAAGGTTGATGGACAATGTTATACATACTACAATGAACAAAAATGCTCTTCAAATATGTCAGTAGATAAAAGGAATTTCTTCTATAAAGGAGTGAGCATTTAAAAATGCTTAGCAGAAACTGTATTGTTACAATTTATTCCACATGGAGTCAATATCCTCCTCAATATCATACAATTTAAAATGCATACACAACTTGGTGTTAATAATTATAGATTTTTAATCTTCTATTGTACCATCCTGATTAATAAAATATAAGAAAATTTATAAAAGGAAAGTTTTTTCTCTTTTGTTTTTATTGTTTTTAAAGTTCATATGCTTATTTTTAAAGCTGCAATGTCTTTAATATCATGATACTAAACCTTTAAAGAAAAAAGAATTTATGATGGTAAAATTAAAATTGGCCACAAATATCATTCAAAAGATTATTCATTTTATAGTTTTCTCCCTAAAATTTCATAGTAATAAGGTCCGATGACTTGCAATGAGCTGCTTCATTCTGAAACGCTGTAATAAAAACAAAACCACCAAGTTAAAATTAGTAATTAATTTGAGAGCTGCTCTGAGAAGTGTTTGAGATTTAAAAATATGATGACAATCATCCTATTTAAAAACTTCAGGGAAACAATTTGTTCTGCACTTCAACAACCTGACTTAGATCTTTTTTTTTTAATTAAATTTATTTATTTTTTTGAATTGATTATGCTGTTACAGTTGTTCTATTCCCCCCTCCAATCCCCTCCACCCTGCCCCCCCCAATCCCACCATTACCCCCCTTTAGTTTATGTCCATGTGTCTCAAGTCCTTTAGGTTCTATATTTCCCAAACTATTCTCGCCCCCCCTCATCTATTTTCTATCTACTGTCTATGCTACTTGTTTTCTGTACCTTCTCCCCCCATCTCCTCCTCCCACTCCCCTGTTGCTAACCCTCCTTGAGATCTTCATTTCTATGTTTCCACTCCTGCTCTAGCTGTCCTTTTAGTTTGCTTTCGTTTTAGGTGTGGTTGTTAATAACTGTGAGTTTGTTGTCCTTTCACTGTTCATGTTTCTTTAACTTCTTTTTCTTAGATAAGTCCCTTTAACATTTCATATAATAAGGGCTTGGTGATGATGAACTCCTTGAATTTAGTTGTCCCTAAACTTGGTTGTGTGAGGAGGCAGGCACATCCAGCTAAACCTCCATCTTGGCGGAAGTCTCCTGACTTAGATCTTAAAACCTGTGCACCGCGGGTCCCTCTCTGGCCTGCGGCCCCACCCTGCCTGCCACTCAGTTGTCCTACAGAAATCCAGGGAAACAGGTTTCGTGAATGTTTGCTTATATAGAGAAAGAACCAAAAAGTGCTTCTGGTAAATTTTGGTGATGATACTGAGCCTGCTTTATGATGAAACACTGCTTTCAAGTAATGTATAATCTATAAGCTTTGTAAGATAATGATCTTAAATGGATAGTCTAATTTAATTGGTTTGAGATAGGGCAGATACAGTTTTCCGGGTGACTTCCCTATTCAGCCAGCAATACCTCCTTCCTTTCCCTGGCAGTGGTAATGTAGATGCTAGAGATTTTGCAGCTTGAAAATATTCTCCCCCCAATTCTGGGCATATACAGAATTGTAGATATCTATTAAAATTGCTAATCAGTATAGAAATGCATTCAATATTTTAACATACAATAATATTTTATATATTTTATTATACAGTTACACTTCACATTCTGAAAAGATTCTAAGTTTTCTATCATTAATTTTCATTATCACACATTGAAATATAAAATTTTTGTTTAAAGACAAAAAATAGCCCTGACTGGTGAACTGAGTGCTGTCCTGAAAACCAAAAGGTCATCGTTTTGATTCCCAGTCAGGGCATGTGTCCGGGTTGTGGGCCAGGTCCCTGCTGGGGGTGTGAGAGGCAACCACACATTGATGTTTCTCTCTCTTTTTCCCTCTCTTCCCTTGTCTCTAAAAGAAATAAAATCTTTTAAAAATAAATAAATAAATTTTGAAATCTAAACTTCAGTTTTAAACTATATTTGTTTCTTCTTTCCATGTAATTACTAAATTTTAAAGATATTATTTACTTAAGTACTCTAATTTGTCTTTATAAGTCACATCTCTATTATTAATGGGATAAGCAACACTAATAAAACTTCCTCCTAAAATATTCAGACTCTATTATTTCATTACCGTAAAACATTTCCTTTGATTATTTTTCTAATACTCGATTAAAGATACTGATTTCAAATAGCATGACTATAAAATAATAAATTCAGGGTATTTGCTTAGAGAATTAATAAAAAGCATTTTGATTCTAATGTTAAGTATAACTATAAAGGAGTAAATTTACTATTATTATGAACTTAGAGCCAGGGACTATTTAAGTCTACTGAAAGGGCTCAAGTTCGTAAATAATCTAGTTCAATGAAGTGTTATAGTTTTAAGCATTATTCTTTGTGAAGACTTTAAAAATAGACTTTTATCCAATACCTTGTTAAATAATATAAAAGCACCCAACTTTCATTTCACAAATAAAAGCAGGTTAAGTGACAAGGAGCCTTCTGTAAGGAGCATGAGCCATTCCTGAACTCAGGTCACTCTGACTAGAGTGTGTAACTGCAAAAACATGCATCTCCATGATTTCAAATTTCAGGTCTTATGATGTCGAATGTCAAGCACAATGGATTCCAATGAGACCGAAGCAACTGAACAAAATACAGTCTCAATAACATAGACCTATGACTAAGTGTATATGAATACATGACATCTGTAAGGAGGAAACCATAACTAATCTCATATAGTACATATGCATTTAACAATTTTCATAAGAGTTACATTTAACCAAGTAGAATGTTCATCTAGTGTTCAGGTAGAAAAAAAGATTATTGACTCTGAAGCCTTGCAGAATTAGACAATAGAAATTCTTCTGTATCCCCAGTAGAAATACACAACATATTTTTAAAAATCATTCTAATGAATGGTGATTAAAGATGGGACTCAAAATGACTACAAAATTCAGTCATGGTAACTCTCCACAGTTCCAAATACATATCAAAATTGTACTACTTGTCATCTCAAAAAATATATAAGTTGTTCTTCTATATAATGCAAATTGTTGACATTCAAAAAATTTATAAAATTCATAGACAAAAAAATCAGCAGAATCATCCTTCTCAGAGATTTTCTCTACATCTTAAAATATATTTCTTTTTGTTTGTGTTCCACAGCAGAATGTGTTGACACTAAATAAAATTAAATAAATACTGATCTACTTTATTATAGCAAATTAAAATACTGAGCAAAATACATATTTATTAAATATTTTATACAGTGCATATACAAAAACCACTCAATTCTAAGAATGGGTTTTTCAAAGTCCTAGGAGGCCTAATTTCATCTAAATTAAATTAGCAGTCAGGGGTAAGAAACAATATTATTTAATAGGACTTGCTTTCTAGGCAATGAAACAAAATAGGAAGATATACTTGTTAAATTTAATTACTAATCACATAATCTGTGAAACTGTAAAAGCTCCAAATAAATAATACTATGTATACTGATGCAAAATCACAAATTACTATCAGTCTAAGTTCCTAGTATTGTGAAAATATTGGTCCTCAAACACTTTTTGATGACTTCATTCAAAATCCACAACAATGTCAACTCCATAATTTGATGATAAATGCTCCATAAATAAATAATCCAGACTTGTGCCCCCTGGATGCAAGGCCTGGGGCAAGGCTAGAGGCATCTCCAAACCATTGGTCTGCAGCACAACCTCTTCAATAATTCTAAGGAACTAAAAATCCAATTCAGGGTTTGGGCCCAGGACACACACATGCATAGTGTCACTCTTTGGAAGAATATTACATTATCTCCAGTCTTTAGGGATTCATTAGAGTGGTGGTTCTCTAAATGCACATTAGAAATTTCACTTTTGAAATTCTCCTTTGTTCACAATGTGGTATGTTTCTATCATAGAACCAAC